GCCCACCACCGATATCTTTGTTATCCTTTGCTGGACAGGAGAGCCAGCGTTTTAGCCAGCTAGCTAATTAGCTAGCTAGAAATGAGCCAATAAGGATTGCTGGCAATATCAACTGGGGTTCTACCATTGGCCATGGCACTGTAATGGATCCTGGTTAAAGTAAGCCATTTTAAAGTAAAAGGGAAAACATTCCCAACCTATGTGACGGGCCAGATCTGGCCCCCGGGCCTTGAGTTTTCCACCCGTGCTCTAGAAGGACAGAGGCAAAGGGAACGTGCTGATATCTGAAACCCCAAGGGCTTCTGTGGGGTCAGGCTCTCCTATCTCCAACCCTATCTCATCTTTTGTGTCCACATCCTTTCATCACAGCGCAAGCAGGCGACGTCGAATACACGGACCAGTTATGCACCAGCCGGCTGCGGAAGAAATATGTCTATATGTAGCCTCTCTTTATTGTGTCACACTTTCAGGTCAATTTATTATCAGTGCAATAAAGCAGAAGGCCGTATTGCAAATCTACAGTGGCGGTCCTTTTATGGAGAAGTGTGTTGTAAACGTGCATTGTGGAGAGTACAAGGGTTTTGGGTTGCAGGGCGTCTGAGTCGCAAATCCTCCCGTGCTCCAGTTCTGAACTCCGAACGGCAAGACTCTTAAGAAACAACGGCTGCGACATGAAAGATGATTCCGTGTCGCAATGGGCCAAATGAAAGAGTCGCAGGGTTTTTTTTAAATCAGCTGCCTCCTGCCTTCTCATTCCTGCGGTGATGTATGGCTTAGGTGAACACATGAGCGGCTTGCTGCGACAATTTCCTGTCAATTACAGGGCGCCAGCATCCAAAGCAGCCAGCCAAGAAGCTCCGAGCAGATGCTGCCATCCTCAGACGGCGTTCCTGCTGGCCTTGGCTTGGTCTCCACTCTTGTGGCCGCATAGATTATTTGTTTTTTTGTCTATGTGTGTCCTGCGATTGGCTGGCAACCGGTTCAGGGTGTCCCCCGCCTACTGCCCAAAGACGGCTGGGATAGTCTCCAGCACCCCCAGCCGCCCTTGTGAGGATAAAGCGGATCACAAAATGGATGGATGGATTTCTTAAGATATATTTTCGGTTTAATACAACGAATTGATTCTAAACGTTTTTAAAAGTGTGTTAACTGTAGGGATGTTCAAAACCACTTTTTTCAGTCCGATACCGGTATGAGTATTCACTCTTTGACTACTCACCGATACCTAGTACTAATACCTCCAGAGTCGATAGCTCTAGTCCTTTTGAGACGTAACTTTTCATTTAACACAATGAGATGATGATTCTCCAAGGTGTCACACTGCAGCAGCATAGCGCCAACTACTGCCGAGGAGGACTTATTCGATCAGATTTCTTTTGCCTTTCGTATCGGTGGCTGGTATCAGCAGCCTCCCAAACACCCGATATCGGTCCATGCTCATCCCGAGTGAATTTCTTGTGATTTTTTTTGTGATGGGGTCGGTCCCGATCCACCACTGATAATGGTGGTTTCCTGTATAAGTGGTGAAATGTGGACTTCACAAATAGAAACACAACAGTTTGAGGTGAGTGGTTGTATAACATGTCCCACATGTTTCTCACCACAATAAAAATGTGTTTTCCACAGCAGTCAAGCTACCCGATTAGCAAACTAGCTTTTCTAGTCATTTACCGGCAGTGTGGCTGCCCAGTGACACAAAATTGCAAAATTGCTTTGCAAAGGTCAGTCTTGATATGATGAAATATCTTGTCGTGTGTGTGTGTGTGTGTGTGTGTGTGTGTGTGTGGTGTGCCAACAAGCCGATGGTTCCTCCTCATGTGTGCGGTCTCTCCCATTTAAAAAATTGGTTCAGATGTTAAAAATTAATATTTGCGCACCAGGCTTTACGTGTGGCGTGCTTATAGGGCCAGCAATGGGGTGGATGTGTGCACGTGTTGTCGTCCAGTTAAAGTGTGTCTTCGTCAAATTCCTAATTTGAAGCATACGCTCGTTACAGCTGGACAGGCTGCTCTGGCAAGACCTTCAAATGTCTCCCCTCATTTCCAAGTTTTGACAACCTTTCGAGGAAAAGTCAACTCAATACAGGCCTTTCACCTCAGCAATCCCGCTCGACTGATAGTTAATTGGAATTGAGTGCGCCCACATCTCCCCCCCATGAGAAGCCACCGGGGGGCCAATCAATCACTATGGCTGAACACACAGTGCAGTCTTTATGTGAGGAATTGGTGCGGCATCATTGTCCTAGTTAAGCTAAATACTGGGAGAGCCACAGTAATGTTGACCTTTAAAGTTGAAGGCCCAGAAAAATGCATCTCTAAAGTCTGAGTTCTGCCACCATGAGGTCATGTCGGACCTCGGTTCAGCATTCAGCAAACACTATCCATTTTGATTATTTTTCTATGAGAAGAAATTGTTTTTAAAATGTGAACATCGGAAGGAGAAAAAATGAATTGATCATGATTCGCAAACTGTTTCGTTCTTTACACAAAATGTAATTGTTATTACTGTATGTTCTTATACGGTACAATATTGTAGAGTGCAATGTCCTTATTTTTGGTTGTGTTTTTCGGGGAGTCTGGAACGTATTAATGGCATTTCCATTCATTTCAACAGGCAAATACAATTTGAGATGGACACAGAACAAATTGAACTCAGAGCAGCACTGTATTTTCCAAAGAATGTAAGTGCCCTCTTGTGGGCCACATACATCACACGCCAAGCTGCCAGAGCAATCTAAGGCTCTGTGTTTAGGTTGCGGTCTCCTCTGGGTCCCACTTCTGCCACCAAATATCTTTACCATACATACGGAACATCATACACAGATGTTTTTTTTTTCTCCCCCTGTTTCCCATCCATTCTCTTCTTCTCAGGTGCATCACCTTTTGAAGGCAGACGCGAGGCTTGTAAACACAGGGTGCAAATGGGGGAAAGGGGGCAGCGGAATACTTCAGAGGCTTACACAGCCTTTGCAGCTCTCTGATAGACAACCCCCTCTCATGTTTGACACTTCTTTGGGGTTCGCCGCGCTGCGGTGGCCCTTACAACTTCCCATAGGGAGAAAAAGGGAGGTATGGAAGGAAAAGTGGTGATGGGAATGTGAGGAAAGTCTTTGTAGTGAGAAAAAAAGGGGGGGATTCTTTTCACGTATTCCAAACATGGCGTTTCTGAGCTCTCTGGGGTTACTACAGTAAAATGTGGATTCACCGTCAGTTTCCACCAAATGTGTTGCAGTGTAGTTGACCCCAGCTGTGGGATGCTGGAAAATCTTTGAAGACTACATGATCTTGAATTTGACATCGCCAGCTCAAATGAACTTCACACCTGTTTGCTGTGAAAGCCATTTCGCCCCTGCCTGCTGGATCTCATTCCTGCTTGAGAGCTCCAACAGAACCATCAGTCGCGAGGAGTAAAAAAAAAAAACTCCGGGATGTTGCAGTCCGGATTAGGGAAATGCTTGCGGCGTAGCCTGCAGCTGTTCACACCGGTGGTGTCATTGTGCACTGTCTTTCCACTCCATCAATAGGTGCGGCAAGTGTGTAAAACACACAAACAAGCCAAGCAGAGAAAAGCCAGTTTGTGATTTGTGTGCAGGTGTTTTCCTCCTGTGATAACCCTGGATTTATATCGCAGATTAGCCATTACCCTGGGGATTAGTTGACATCATCTCCTCCCGCGGCCTCTGAACTTTTCCAAGTTTAATCACGGAAGCAACTCTCGTCCAAAGCCGAGGATTTATTGTATTGCAGTGTGATGGGAGGCCGGCCTGTGGGAGTGATATTAGCGACAATAGGTTTCTCATGTGGAAGGGATAACACCCTGCAACTGCAGTTTCCGGTCTTATCACGGCACTTGGGTTTCCTAATCAAGGTGCTGCTGGACGTCGGTCTCCGTGCGTGCACAGACCGTCGCCGTCTTGTCCCGCATTCTTCCAGTGAACTCAACCCGTCCGATATGCTATTTAGTAAGAGAATGGCCTTCGCGTTCGTACAAAGGAGAGCTGTTATCACTTTTTTGCCAGAAAGGAGGCTTGCGGTATTGATTCCAAGTACCAGGGTTCTTCAGTCCCTCCTGTGTTTGGAGTAGGGTTGCAAAATTACAGGAGTTCTCAAAGTATCTGGTGTTTGTCAGAAAGGAAGAGGAGTAAAGCAGGAATTGGCCAAAGTGAAGGTTGGCTCTTGACTCGGTGACCTTATTTTCTGATGTTGCTGTTGTTGTTGTTGTTGTTGTTTTTTGGGGGGGCCAAGTACGTTTTTTTGGCATGGAAGAGAGTCTTGCCCAGCTTTGTAAACAAGCGTAATGACTAACAGATCCCTGTAGGTGGTGGAGTTACATCCCTTTGGAGATCAGCACAGCATTTGAGTAGAAGCTAAAGGTTAGGAAACGACTCTCAGCTTATCCCGCCGGTTCTGATGGGGAGAAGCCAAGAAGTTAGAAGTCAAGACAAGGTGCACCACACCCGAACAGTGTGTTGCGGTAGATAGCAGAAAATGTGCGTGGTGATCATGAGAAAAGATGACGCCATCCATGGAGTGAATGACGAACGGCACGTCATAAGGCTAGCGGCATTCAAACCGAGTCAAGACAAAAAATGTTATCGATATAGCGCTTTCACAACAGCTGCAGCTCTAACAAAGGGGCAAAAATGAATGCCTCCGTGTGAATTCACAACCATTCCATAAATCCTTCAGTGCGTCTGGACAATCTATGAAGTGACAATGAAAGGTTCCACACCTTCAGTGTAATAATACTGCCGATTTATAATTCCATTGGAAGCGCACTCTATATTTCACTTTAGGTTTGCGCCGCACAGCTGGCGGAATTGTATACATTCCCCCGAGGATATACTCGGAATTAGGGCTTCTTTTCAAATACAGCTTGATGTAAACAGAGGATTTGAAAGTCGAAGGGGATCACCTCTCCCAGGTGCGCCGACACTAAATCTCGATGCCGCTGTCTCTTAACGGGATCCGCACGTCTTGCTGTGATTGATATGCTTGCAGTATTGCCGACACGGGATGTGTGTCAACAAGGAGCTGCACTTGCAGCCGGTCCACGGGGAATGGGGGGCCTGGGGGCCCTACAGCGCTTGCTCCAGGTCTTGCGGCGGAGGGACACGGAGCACCACCAGAGACTGCAACAAGCCCGAGTAAGATGGCCGAAAGTTCCGACCCTAATTGAGTTCAAATCGAAACAGGAACTTCGGTTAGCGAGCAACCAGACAAAGTCTTATTGTTTTCTCTTCCTGGGTCTTATTCCAGGCCTAGAAATGGCGGCAAATTCTGCGTGGGACGACGGATGAAATTCCGCTCCTGCAACACCGAGCCGTGTCCGCGAGGACGGAAAGACTTCCGGGAAGACCAGTGCTCTCAGTTCGACGGCAAACACTTCAACATCAATGGTCTACCTCCGACCGTCCGCTGGGTCCCCAAATACAGTGGCAGTAAGTCAACGTGTTGTTTGGGAGAATTTGATGCTCCTTTTTACATTCCGATTGTGGCTGTCTCTTGAGTTTGCGGGGATACAGTTGTATGGTCGCACTGAATTCTTGGGCCTTCGTTTTTAGCCAGAGACTGCAACAAGCCCGAGTAAGATGGCCGAAAGTTCCGACCCTACAAATTGAGTTCAAATCGAAACAGGAACTTTGGTTAGTGAGCAACTAGACAAAGTCTTATTTTCTGTTCCTGGGTCTTATTCCAGGCCTAGAAATGGCGGCAAATTCTGCGTGGGACGACGGATGAAATTCCGCTCCTGCAACACCGAGCCGTGTCCGCGAGGACGGAAAGACTTCCGGGAAGACCAGTGCTCTCAGTTCGACGGCAAACACTTCAACATCAATGGTCTACCTCCGACCGTCCGCTGGGTCCCCAAATACAGTGGCAGTAAGTCAACGTGTTGTTTGGGAGAATTTGATGCTCCTTTTTACATTCCGATTGTGGCTGTCTCTTGAGTTTGGGGATACAGTTGTACGGTCGCACTGAATTCTTGGGCCTTCGTTTTTGGCTAGATCGTGCGCAATGATATCTGTTGCTTTGCTTCGACTGCAGCCAATCTCAGGTCTTCGTGTTCCCGTCCGTCTTCAGTTGGATCTTAGTGGAGTCCAAAAGCCACATGATGTAAAAGCTACAAAAAAATTGTCTTGATAGATTTAAAACACAACAAGGCTTTAGTTACGGTTCTGGCCTTGGTTCATACACAGTATCTCTCAAACGTGAGTGAACCACTCAGGTTTGTGAATGTTTCATTATGTTTTTTTTTGAACGGGACAAAAGTGAAGAAATGACACTTTCCGACAAGCTGCAGTGTCAATCAAAGTGACACAACGCATACCAGTAATCAGTAATGTCTTGACTGCTAGCAACAAAAGCGAGTAAACCTATGCGTGAAAAACTGGGCCCAATTAGGCATTTTCCTTCCCCCGGTGTCATGTGACCCATATCACAAGGTCTCAGATGTAAAAATGTTTGCTTATCTGGAACCATTTCAACACGGTACTCCATGGTCCCCACTTTGTTGCAGTTTAACTTGCTTCACTCGACATCTTTAACCAAATGCGTCTTCTCTTCTAACGTAATGATTTGTTTCCCCGAAAAATTGTCTTGATAGATTTAAAACACAACAAGGCCTTAGTTACGGTTCTGGCCTTGGTTCATACAGAGTATCTCTCAAACGTTAGTGAACCACTCAGGTTTGTGAATGTTTAATTATGTTTTTTTTGAACGGGACAAAAGTGAAGAAATGACACTTTTTCCGACAAGCTGCAGTGTAAATCAAAATGACACAACGCATACCAGTAATCAGTAATGTCTTGACTGCTAGCAACAAAAGCGAGTAAACCTATGCGTGAAAAACTGGGCCCAATTAGGCATTTTCCTTCCCCCGGTGTCATGTGACCCATATCACAAGGTCTCAGATGTAAAAATGTTTGCTTATCTGGAACCATTTCAACACGGTACTCCATGGTCCCCACTTTGTTGCAGTTTAACTTGCTTCACCCGGCGTCTTTAACCAAATGCGTCTTCTCTTCTAACGTAACGATTTGTTTCCCCCTTTAGTCCAACTGAACGATCGTTGCAAGCTCTTCTGCCGGGTTGCCGGAACGACGGCCTATTACCAGCTGAAGGATCGCGTCATCGACGGCACGCCCTGTGGCACCGACACATACGACATCTGCGTTCAAGGCCTCTGCAGGGTTCGTCTGTTCGCTTCCCTCGCACCATCGGGCAATCTCAAATTGCACGAGGACGTTACAGTATCTACACAACGCAAACGTTTTGTCTCCAGCAAGCGGGCTGCGATCACATCCTGAACTCGAAGGCCAGGAATGACAAGTGCGGCGTGTGCGGTGGAGACAACTCCTCGTGCAAAACACAGGCGGGGACGTTCAACGATGCTCAGTATGGTGAGTCCCGTGAGCACTAAATGCATATTGAACAACTCAATGTCGATTGGTTCATCTCAGAACTTGTTTTATCACGTCACTTTTTGGGGGAACTGAAACTCTTGGTGTGTTTTTAGCAAGTAGCATAAAATTAGCAAATAACGTCACTTTCGCCATGACGCTTTGGTTAATTTGAATGTTAACTTTAGACACAATACATATCAATGTGCAGGACGCTTTATCACAATTTGCCTCATGGAAAATTGAGGACGCAAGTGGCACCAATTTGGTTGAATGCGTAACGCATAACGGGCTAAGTCCATGCGGCTATGTAGTTGTTGTGTATGTATGTGTGTGCCTATTGATTTATGACATCATTAAATGCAACCAGCGGGGATGAAATTTTCTTGTCACCAAATCATTTATGCTCACGAAACTTCAATTATAAGTCACGTCGTTTGGAGGCGTCGCAATTGCTAACCCGTCTCTCGTGCTCTCAGCCCTCTCAACTCTTTCACGATGTTCTTTAGCATGGAGGTTTCTTTATATCAGGCGCGACAGACTTATTTCAGAACATCTTTCGTCTTGCCTTTCCCTCCAAACAAGATTTGAAGACTAAGCCACCGCTCTGTCCCTGCCCGCAGGAGAGGGCGCAACTGCGGGCGTGTGCATGTCACACCAGCTCCATCGCGGCTAGCTAACTGCATATCACAGTTGCGCCGGATAATCAATAAAATGGTGGAGGTGTGACTCATACCGGAGCCAAAGTGCGTCACCAGGCAGCATTTTAGCCATGCGCCCCAAAAATCAGGAAAGCTGAAAGACTTCACAATGGTACAGGATGATTTGCAGCAGATTCTCCGAACCTAATTAACTCATTCACTCCCAAAGACGTTTTTTAAACGTCTTTTCAGACTTGGTCCAGAATTGGCTGATACTGAATGAGTTAAGATGAAAACCCAACTTGGAAGATAGCCGATCCACATTTGGAAAAGGCCTGATTCGGATGCGTTTTTTTTGTATTTACGCTGACATGAAGTGCCGGGGTCATATACATCCAGTCTTACAGGATTCGTCCATGGTTTGTGCGCTTGATTGAGTATTTTGTTGTATCTCCTTGGACAAACAAACAGCCACATGGCACTGAAAGACTTTTTGGCTGTGCTAAGTACCGTACTGATGTCATGCCTGTTGTCATTTAAATGCACTCGGATTGTTTCAGGGAATAGTCAGGCCTCGGCCAAATTTGGGGACTGATCATTGTCTCGAACTATCAAATGTTCAAATGTGGGCGCTGACCTCATCGTTTTTAAACGAGCCAACGTGATTCATTCAATCGAAGCCTCATCATGTTTGTGCTCATTTTCTTTTCTCATTTGGTTGTTTAGTCAAGGGGTAGACTTTTTTTTTTTTTTTTTTACGGCTGCATCTCTCTCACAAACTTAACTGGGATGAGCCCCAGATCGCACGTGAGCCGAGTGAGGAAAAGCCATGTTTTAAAATCAAAAACAAACAAACCAAAAAAAAAAAGATTGATAGACCATTTATTACCATTGTCATGAAATTATTATTCCACTGCATCGCCTCCAAATGCCACAAAGGAAGTTCGGAAAGGTGCTTTTTTTTTTTTCCTTTTCTCCGAAAGGTGAAACTGGCATGACTTGTGTAGACGATAACTGGATGATATGTAAACCAAGTGCTGCCCCCCAGGCCCCCCTGTGGCTGGAGGTGTTAGTGAAGCCACGCCAACATCTTTTCCCCTCCGCTCTTATTTTGGAATAGAAGGCTGAAAAGCTGGCGCTGCTGTGGCCACGAGTCTGGTTCAAAGTCGAGTGATTCTGCGTGCGAATCCCATCGTGCGTGTACAACTGCACTGAAAAAAAAATGGTGTGTTGGATTTACTCCATTTTTTTTTTGTCAACCGGTTGCACGAAAGTAAATATCATCTGGAATCAGAAACGTTTTTAAGTAGACGTTACAAAGTCTCTGGCTCCAGATGATTTGAATTTCTGCAACCACTTGACGAAAAAAAATGGTGTCAATTCAACAACAACTTTTTTTCAGTTCACCTAAAGTCTTCGCCGTGTGTTTTTTTTTGGAATGTGGGAGGAAGCCAGAAGCCTGGCAGAAATCCCACGCAAGCACGGGGAGAGCGTGCACACGTCGAGATTTGAACCTCACAACTGTGAAGCGGTCCTGCTAACCGCGAGTCCCCTGTTGCTCGGGTGTTTTTATGGCACCTTAATTCAGTTCATTAATCTGCTAAATGGTGTTTATTTTACAATACACTCGAATCCATCTTTATTTCTATAGCGCTTTCACAACAGCTGCAGCCAAGCCAAGCCAATAATCCCATCATAACGGCTGTTCCTTCACGTACGCCTGATTGTTCGAACCCCCATCAAACAATTGCAGAATAATTTATTTGGAACAATTTTAAAATTGACATGCTTGGTCACATGTGTCCTTTTGGGGTTATTCTTTCTGTCATGCCCACTTGTTCTCTGTGTTAGTTTCTCTCGGGTCAACATTTTCAGTGTGGTAATTACAGGCCAAATCGTCGGTTCGGGGAATAATTACATCTCATTTCATGACCGGGCCTGTGAGACTTCAACAAGCCCTCGTGCAGGTTATTTGAGACGAGACCTGATTTTTATTTTTTTTTGGAGGGGGGTTGTGGGGGGGGGGGTGTTTTTCCAAGTGTGTAAGTCCCCAGTGGTTGGAAGCGGACATCCCTTTTGGAACATGGTGAAACTATTAAAAAAAGAAAAAAAAAACTTCAAAATGCATCTGATCTCCTCATGCTTTCTGTCTGTTTTTCCTCTTCAGGCTACAACATTGTGGTCCGCATCCCAGCTGGTGCTACCAACATTGATATCAAGCAGGTCAGCTACTCGGGAAAACCGGAAGACGACAACTACCTCGGTGAGTCGGAGCGATGATGCGGTTTTTTTGAGGAATAAGTTTTCTAAGAAGCACTGATCCAAAATTGAAGCTGGACGCTCGCTTGACAATTGATTAGGAGCAGAGCAGGATAAAAATACAAAAAAAACATTCGGGAACGTCACACTTGCACTAAATCCTCTCTTATGAAGCTGATGAAGTCCAGTTGTCTGGAAAGAAGGGATATTGAGGCCCAAGGGTAAAATCATGGGATTGTTGGAAGGGTTTTACAATAATAGTTTTAATGTTATTTTCTAAAGTCACTTTTTTATTTGAATCATGTGGCCATTAGAGAGTAAAATTCAGCAAGTGGAATTGTAAATCCATTTCAAGTTCGTTTTTCGGGGGCCTTGAGATACAAGTTGAAGCCACTCCCTGATTCCACTTGTATCTCAAATCATCTTTCCCCATTGAAGTGAATGGAAATGGAGTTAATCTATCCCAGAGCCCAAAAACATCAAACTGTGTTGTTTAACATGATTTTTCAAAAGAAAAATTGTACTCAGCAATAAACTGAATAACACTGGTGTCAAACTGAAAGCCCGGGGGCCAGATGTGGCCCGCCGCATCCTTCGATGTGGCCCGCAAAAGCAAATGAAGAGCATCGCCTTCATGTGTCTGGTAAAATACCAGGAACGTCTTCACTTTTAAAAATGTCAAGATACAGTATTGCAAGGAGTTTTTGTTGCCAATCCCTCTTTGAAAATAAATGTACTCAGCTCTGATTTCAAAACGATCCATCAATTTGTTGTGCATATACAATCGGGTGAGGTTTAGAGGGTTTAGGGTCATAACATATTTAGATCCAGAGTCATAATGGCCCTTTGAAGGAAACCAAAACTATGATGTGGCCGGCGACCAAAAGGAGTTTCGCACGCCTCCAACACACAGGAATAAAATTTGGTCTGCTCTTAACCCGCATATAAAATGTGCGCACAAAACCCGACTGTACCTAATTTGTTGTCCTTCCTCGTTCTTCAATCGGCAGGTTGGCAAACCGTCTCAGTGGCGCATTGGCGCCACCAACTGATAAAGCCAACGTTGTTCTCCAAAGATTACCACTCCATGCGTGAATTTAAACTCTAGAATATAAACGTATTTTTTTCAGGCAACGAAATAGAATGTTATCAAAAAAAGTTTAGTGATAGCTGGTTCTCCCTCCTGAATAAGCAGATGAGTACGCTTACATGAGCCCCCTCTCACGAAGTTAGGTCGATGCCATTACGCCCCGGGCCCCGCCTCCCAAACGGCCCATTGCGGTGACCCACGCAGCCGAGGAGGAAAGCCATTGCCAGAAAGCCACTCGATAACTGTCTTTTGCGCTTCGTGTATGCGAAGGCAATGTGGACGGACAATGGAGGGGGGGTATAATTCTCGGGGGGCCAAGGCAACAAGGGCCACCAATTGGGCAAAGTAAATGGTGTGTCAGCTGCCCTTGAGAAGGATAAATGAAGCGGCGCTAGGTGCTAATTAGACGCATGTGGGTGAAAGCGGATCGCTCGGCACAGAGGCGGGCAAGAAAATGAAGACATTTTAGTTCAAGTGAGGTTCAAGACTTTCTCCAGTTCCTCTGTCAGGAAACACATGTGGCTGGAAAAAAAAAAAAAAAAAACGACATGAAGGCCGTTTGCAGCGCTGTGTCACATTTGTCCCTCGAACTGAGTGGTTCTAAACCGTGTTCGGGCTGACGAATCACCACAATCACTTTGTGATTGGGAAAATAATGAAAGAGAATGTTAAAAAATCATCTCATGACTATATTAGTGCACAAAATACAACCAAAAAAAATGATGTGACTTTTGCTGTTCACACTTTTGTTTCATTTTTGTAGTAAAATCTCTTTTTTTTTTTTGTTCATGTCCACCATCCTGCAAAAGAGTTGTTTGCCAAGAGATGATTTCACAAACGAAATGGGGATCTCAAGGGCCTTTTTGGAGCCACAAGATACACAACGATTTGGTGGCACCAAAATGTTGAGAGCCTGGTGTTCTGAAGTGTTGAGGCCTTTTCACACTGCACTTAGCTTATTTTTAGTGTTCACGATGACTGTGTGTTTGCATTTGGCATCCAAATGACTTGGCTACAGCCCTGGACTCAGCCAGCTAAAAAGTGCTCGGTCGCAAGGCAGCTCGGAGCTGTAAATTACATGACACGTTGGACATCGCCATTTCTTAGTTCACATGCTTCAATTGTGCAGATTTCTTTTTACTCAGCCTCGGGGCTCTTTTTCCCGGTCGTTGTGAGGGAATTGGTGAGACGGCGCGAACGCTGGACGACGCAGCGTCTCCAATTGATGTGTTGACAGACACATCGCATTTTTTTTTTTTTGGTAGTGAACATTGCTTGTATCCAATTGTTCGGACTGTCAACGGCTGTCTTTAAAGTGATGGAACCCGTGACGACCCGTGCGCCCAGATGCCAAAATTGATAGTTTTGACAATATAGTGTCATTTTAGGAACTGGAACAGATGAATGGCATCTGAAATTGATTCAATCCACACGTCATTTCAGTTTCGAGCGTGGTCACAGAACAAATTAAACCCATAAGGCAAGGTAACCACTGTCCTTGTATGCTCATGTTTTTGCACATCGGTCCCTTTGCAGCGATTCACCCCAAACCCACAATCATCTTTGGTCTAAAACTCTGGTTCCAACAACGTGCAAACGCGAATGTAAACAAGGTGGAGGGATTTCATCGCGCGCATACTTTTGGCATGCAAACGTCGCAATTAGATGCATTCTTCTTGGAACCGGGCCTTGCAAAAATTCTTGCTTGTGTTTACTCACTACAGTGGGGAACCATGTGCTCTCATTTTTTATTTTTTTTTTGTCTCAGTCGTCACTGAGTGTCACCAAGTTTTAACACGAAATACATGCAATCTATGACTGTCTCTACGTGCTGCGAGTGTGGTTTTGCAAAACAATCCGCTGGCAACACTGCACTATTCCCATATTTTCCTGCTCACATGGATCGTTGTTTTTTTTTTTGTTGTGTTTTTTTTTTTTGGTCTGTTTTTTCCAGCATTATCCGATAGCCAGTCCAACTTCTTGCTGAACGGGAACTTTGTGGTGGCCATGTTCAAAAGGGAGATCACTTTCAAGGGAACGGTCATCGAGTACAGCGGCTCTGACACCAAAGTGGAGCGCATCAACTGCACGGATCGCATCGAAGAGGAGCTCGTTCTACAGGTCGCCATCCCATTAAGAATTGTTTTCACAAAGTGTTTTGGTTCAGTTTATGCGTGTTTCCAACCAGTCGAAGGTGTACTGCCTCTTGTCCAAATTCAGATCCTCATCTGTTTCTGTTGTAATAGTTCCCAAACTATTCGAATAACATATCATACGTATATCGGCACAGCTCAACCACATTACAGCGTCTATTTGGCAACATCGGGTATAAATGCTGTGACTGTCCGACGTCCGTCCATCATAGCAGATTTTCTTTCACTTTTGATTCTCACATAATCACGGTACAAGATGTCCTCGGTTTGCAATGGAGTTCGGCTCCCGAATGTGCAGTAAACCCCTTCCATTGCAGGTTAGGAGTTTGTGGTTCTGTTATTTTGCAGTTTTTAAAAAATACAGTTTATATTAACTCCATTTTGTACCATGCTTCTTATTTTGGGTGTGATTCCAATGTGAGTCACTAGATGGCAGCCCACTATTGCGTTTGATACACTGTAAAATGGACTAAAGAAAATATAAAACAGGAAGTACAGTTTTCAACTTAGCCTGGTTTTTGCTGAAAATTATTGACTCTCATTCCCCTTCAATCCTGCTTTTTACGCCTACAGAAATCGACGAGTGTAGATTGGTTTTATAATGGAGATCTTTGGACATCAATATTCACATGCATTGTGGGATGATAAGTTATGTTTGTTAGTTTGGAAATAATGTTTTGTTTTTTCTTTTACAGTAAACATAAAGGGGCCAGTACACTGTCTCAACAATATTTTCGTTATTCTTTGCTTCCTCTCTCTGGCTCGCTCTAAATATATGATATGTGTTAAAATGTGTTTGTATTATTTTAGAACTACACAGACCTTAAAATGGTGCTCGACAGGAATATTGGTGTTGATGTGCAGGTTTTACTATCTTTCAGGCAATCGATTGCCACGCGGTTTACTTGACTGTCAATTGTCACATCCACACGATTGAAACTGTCTTGATTTCGTGTTCCTCTTCTTTATCAGCACTTTGTAACTGATACGCGTTTGAAAGGTTAAGCTTCTGCGCAGACAAAATAAAACAAATAAAAACATTTAAAAAAAAAAAAAAGGAGAGCTTTCTGTGACCTTGACTCTCCCTGCCATTACTGCAGGTCTTGTGTGTGGGAAACCTCTACAACCCAGACGTCCGCTACTCCTTCAATATCCCCATCGAGGAGCACAGGGAGCAGTTTGTGTGGGATCCCTCGGGCCCATGGCTGGAGTGCAACCGCGTCTGTCAGGGTACAACTTCAACTGCATGCCGTCACCTGTTTCAGTCTTGAACGGTTTTTGCGGTGGAGCAAAATGTGCGCAAGGGCCAAAAATGAAATGTGTTTCCAAGTGGGAAAAAACAGAGCGACTCCAATTACCTCTGCCAAGCCCAAAATCCCATAGGCGAGCGGTGTTGTTTCATTTTTATGTTGGTTAGCAGTGTTATGCCAAAAGAACATAACTGATTTCGATGAAAACGTGGAGGGGTTGCACAAGAAAAGAAACTTGAGAAACTGATTTTTCAAACAGTCAATTTATGAGGTAATTGTGTTGTTATTTTCCACAAACGAGAAAGGAAACTAATGACTGGACAAACAAACAAAGAAAATTTTTATCAATGTATTTTTTTTTTTACATCATTCACCACCCGGTTCAAATTTGGGTTTTTCAGATTTCCGTCCCTTTATTTTTGTGTGTGTGTGGCTTCACTTTGGAATTCGACCCAAATTGTGACTTGGTGAGTGTCACTAAAATTCAAACAGGAATGACTACAAACGAGCACATTACAGAGAAAATTAGTACACGGATTGAGGAGTCCCTACAAATTAGCGTCACTTGAAAAATACCTCTGGAATCATTTAAAAAAAGAATTGTGTCTCCCCCTCCTGTTGACCTTACTTTGACCCAGCCACTCAGCTCGCTCGACACCTTTGCCACAGCAGAGCATTCAAGCACAAAGCTCATCAAAAGTTGTCTTGAACCCTTTGAGGGACAGCGGTGACTACAGTGAACAGCTTATCATGTTATCAGGTTACAGGGTGCATGAAAGGGTTAAAGGCCGGTTAGTCTGTTTTTCCGTGGGTCAAAGTTGTCCCGTGACATCGATAGTAAAAAGACGACATGATGAGGTGTGAGACTGTCATGGACCCACAAGGCTACTCGATTAATTTTTGGTGAAGAAATGTGAGATTGCACTGACTGATTTGCCATAATGTGTTTGATTTGCTTTTTTTTTTGTGTGTGCACACCCGTGTGCTTTGGTGCAGGTGAGCGGCGTCAGAAGCCGGCCTGCGTGCGGAAGAGCGATCACCTCGAGGTATCGGACCAGCGATGTGAACATTTACCTCGTCCCGCTGCTGTCAAAGAGCCCTGCAACCACGACTGTGAAGTCAGGTGAGATTCACATCAAAGGAAAACAATCATATGCAGAAAACAAAACAAACAAAAAAAAAGCAAAAGCACAGTGACTCCTGCATTTTGACGCTTCAGCATTCGCAAATACAGAAACTTTGCTGAAGTGAGTTGAGGAGCTTCTTTGACACAAATGCAGGGCTTTGCCAATGATGTATTACATTCATCATATCTTCAAAGATGAGTTTTAAATTTCTTGTGAAGTGTCAGGTCAGAGTAATTCTTCACCCTAAAAATATCAACACAAAAAATGTAAAACGTAGTACTTTGTCACCACAGTTTGGCATTCTGGTGCCAAGGGCCTATGTTTAAGTGAGTTGAGGAATTTCAGTTCGACAGAAGTTTTTTTTTTTTCTGGAAAGGAGCCTGGTGGAATTCAATCACAGGTTTGAACATTGTCAAAGTCATAATGCGCCTTTTTTTTTTTTTTTTTTTTTTTTTTTCTTTGTCAAAATCGTACCGGAGCTTTCAATTGGACCAAAGCTAAATTAGAGGGAAGTAAATGCTTTAGTGTGTTAATTTTATCGGTGCACCGGCACTCAATATCTTATTAGACAACATAATAATAGATTATATTTGCATTCCAACTTAAACACGCGCCACCTGTCCTACTTGTAAGTATTATTCGACTGTTTCTGCTCATATTTTGTCTCCAGGTGGCATGTCGCCGGGAAAAGCGAATGCTCAGCTAAGTGCGGTGCGGGCTACCGCAGCCTGGACGTGCAATGTATGAAGTACAACCTGATGAAGAGGCAGAGCGAGCGAGTGGAGGCCAGTTCCTGCGTGGATGTGGTCAAACCTCCGACTCGAGAGAGCTGCCACGGCGATTGTCTTCTCAAGAGCTGGCAGTACGGCGCTTGGTCACAGGTAGAGGAGAACGGGGACGGGAATTCACATTCAAAGCATGACACGTATTGAATGTAGGAGTACGATTTATTTTTTTTTCTCACTAGGACTCCCAGCTTGCAATCGCAAATGCTGCTTTGAAGTCAAGAGATGCTTATTTGTTGGCGTTGTCTTAGCATCGTGCTAATATTACTTTTCGGAGTTGCGTGCGGCGCTTGTATAAACCTTGTCGGTGTCCCAGAACGGGCGCAATAATTCGGTCAATGATTTCATGATTATTGCGATGTCCCGTTAGCTATCAGCATTCACCAGCTTGAACTTCTTCAGTAATGGTGACATTGCCAGTTTTGTATTGTTCACTACAGTGTCTTAAAAGGAAGCGCTGGGCCTTTTTGTTCCACGCCAGTACTGGAGTCAGCGGGAAAACATCGATGCCGACTGACACATACAGCAAGCTGATTTTTATTTCTTTATTTTAACCACAGCTCCACCGACTAAATGTACAATTAGAATTGGATGCTAGATAGATCGAGGATCGATAGGTGGATTGAAGGTAGAGAGCTGGACGAGGTTACCAAATCACAATCCTGTCGTTTTTATGAACAAACCAAAAACAGCCATCGAACCAATCCTCTCGACTCACAGAATTTGGGCTCGGCAGAAGAAACCGTCTGATTATCGTTGCGTTCTTTTCACAGTGCTCCAAGACGTGCGGGCGAGGGAGTCGCGGCCGAGAGTCGTACTGCATGAACAATCTGGGCCGGCGGCTGGCGGACAGGGAGTGCGGCGAATACCAGAGAGTGGTCACCGAAGCCTGCAACGACCAGCCGTGTCCCAAGTGGACCCTCAGCGAGTGGACCGAGGTGGGGATGATTATCATGACGTGCACCTCGAGTTCAGTGGCGCCACAAGCATTTGGAGCAGTTTAGAATCAAATTCTATCGAATAAGATAATAAGATAAGAAAACCTTTATTCGTCTTACAATGGAGAAATTCCCAATTTACAGCAGCAACGTTATGAAAGGAAGAAAGGAGAAGCACAAAAAGTATCGGAGCTGCTGTAAAGGCAGCCACACTCAGCCATGTCAACAGAGATGCTAATTTAGTAAATTGATTAATGGCTGCAGATCGCCCGGAGTGAGTGATATGGACGTTCTGGTGAATTCCCACTGAGCTCTTCTGTTCGTTTTTTTTCCAGCCCACGGATCCATTTAGAAATCAGGAAACATTGTAAACATATACTACACCTTGCATTTGTAGTAGCACCAACTTCCTACTTTTGTCTCAAAGAGTGTCACCAAGTTACAATAATTGAACATGAAAATTAGCAAAAATAGAATACACAACTAGAAAATATTTAAAATCACACATTAACAACGCCTAACAGCCTGTGATGTCATTACATCGGCCATCACTAGTTACTCCGAAGATGAGTTGAAATCTGAATGGACAAATAGGGAACATCCACGCACTGGAAGCAGTGCGGCCAAGAGAACCGTTGAATGAATGATGAATTCATTTGACTGAATGGAACAAATACTAGAATTCGATGATCAAACTGACCCTGAATGATGTCGATCCATCTAGTGCCTGGTGACATGCGGTAAAGGGGTGAAACACCGGCAGGTTTCGTGCTCCGGAGCCACCAGAGAGGAAAAGCTGAGTGAGCACATGTGCGACCCATCCAGCAAGCCCCCCTCCGTCGGGAGCTGCGAGTTGCCCGAATGCGCATCCTGGCAGGTCGGCGTGTGGGGAGCGGTGAGTAAGCAAGCACGCACGCACGCATACCCACAGGTACGCACACACACCCACACAGGCTCGCACACACGTAGGTTGGTCGCAGACACGCTCAGTGGGTCGACGCGTGCGTGGCTTGTCTGAGGAAATGGCTTTCATGTGTGGCTTGCAGATTCGCAGCCAGATGCTTTCCCAACTGTGTCTGTGTGTGGACCACAAGTGTGCACACAGAGACACACGGGGCCCCGCTTGCATAAAAATCTCACTTATTGTCAACGTGCAGACAAGCATCTGCTTTTCGTTTGATCTTTTTTTATGAAGTGTATTAAAAAAAGAATCTGTGCACTTGTAACACTATAAATGAGTCTTTCCCAACTTATATTGAGCCGAGGCACCCATTTTATAGGAGGAAAACTTGACAGGACGCCTCCAAATAAAAAATGTGAACGATATATACATGAAGAGAGCAGTATTTGTAATTGATGAATTATTTTCTGACAAACTAAGTGACACCGGATCCAGCGGCAGTGATTTATCACCCAGAAGTGACTCTTGAACGTCGTTAGACATGACAGTCGATATTTCCAATTTGTGTATGTGTGTGTGTGTGTGTGTGTGTGTGTGTGTGTGTGTGTGTGTGTGTGTGTGTGTGTGTGTGTGTGTGTGTGTGTGTTGGAACGTGATACACCAAAAAATTGCACGACGTGCCCTGACTCCAGCTCCCATTTCCTCTACGCCACTTTCGCTTTGTCCTCATATCCCGCCAGACTAAATCCGATCCACATACATGCGCGCACACACACACACACACACACACACACACACACACACACACACACACACACACACGCACACACACCGTGTCTGTGTCAGTGCATATACGTCGACTTTGTAACCCCTGCTGGACTTTAACCGATTCCCTGTCTGAGGTCTTGACCTTGACATAGTAAGATAATGTTTGAGATCAAACATGTGCCTGTGTCTCAGTGTTCAGTCACCTGTGGCCAAGGCTACCAGATGAGAGCAGTAAGGTGTATGTCGGGGGACTATGGTAACACAGTGGACGACAGAGAGTGCAACGCTGCCGCCAGGCCCAGAGACAGTCAGGTAAAACCATTACGGTAAAACCGACACGCACGGCACGTTAGCCATCTTGTATGCTTCGGGCAGGTTTGGGTTTCACTTTGGTTGGTTTCTACCGTTTTTGACTTGACTCCCAGTCAGTATGAAGCAAGGACTTTTAATTTGGACGTTCTGTCTTTGTGATTTTAACAAGAAAGAGCACTAGCGCTATGCTAGCTTCTCGCACTCACCGCTTTGCTAACTAGTGGGTACACGTATGTATGTAAAATTGCAAAGATGAATTGAGCTACACCAAACCAGCATTGTCAGATAGATCTTTTTATAGTTGATTCCAAGTTTTTGTTTCTCGGTTGACCAGTAGTGTCCAAACAAAGGACCAGAACCCTCCATTTTCCTTTATGCGGCCCTCAGAGGAAAAAAGTTTGAACACCACTTATGCTTGCATGATGAGTTTTCAATGTTTGTGTGTGTTCAATGTTTCTTGAAAAATATCCACAAAACATTGCAATATTATTTGTTGCCACTCAGGGGCAGCAGATATGCTGTAAACTCAAGTTTGATCGCGCAATTAGCCGAGATATAACAACACCCTTCTATTATTGTTCTTGTTATTATCGTTATTCTCTAGTGTGCCTGGAAAGTTAATATCCAAACTGTGTAAGTGATGGATGACGATCATAATCTCGTATGTGCGTGTCTGAAGGACTGTGAAATGCCGGCGTGCCCGTGGGCTTCTCCGGTCCAAAGCACACCTCCACCTGAAAACTCCGCTCAGCACGGGACACAGTGGCGATACGGCTCCTGGACAGCGGTAAGGATGCAAAATGTCACTCAATGTTTACACGCAGGTCCCGCACACTTGACACGCAGCCGAAAACAGACTTTTTTTTATTTTTTATTTTTTTTATAGAACAGCGTGTGTTCTCACAACAGTATGCAAAACACCATTGAGACATATGACATTAGCATAATTTACAGTGGGATCTTGACTTCCGAGTCCCCACCCCCCACACACACACAGACCTTACGAGTATTTCAAGTAACGGCCCGTCACTCAGTTGATCTCAAATAGATATTTTTTTCTTTGTTCGGTGAGCTAAAAATCTCCCTGATGAGTGAGCTTCAGACACTCCGCTACGCATTGAGCTCACCAGCAAGCTCTGCAGGAGCCTGGAAATGATCTCGATGATTTCACGGGGTGATATCAGGGGATGGATTTGTCACCTGTGGGCCCGTGAAGCCCTTTGAGACTCTTTTTTTTCTGATTAAGGCCTATATCAACAAATGTGACTCGACTTGACTTTGCACCGATCAATAGAGAAGGCTCGTTGTTGTAGCTCAAGTCTCACGCAGTTCGATGCCTCACAGCGTTAGTGAGCGCAAATGGAAAACCACATCTCAACGCCAGTCTTCTAGGCCCGACATTGAACGCCATCAGTCACGCGACGTCGACTGTGCGGTCGCACTCGTTCCACCACACCACACGCATTCTTCTCGGCAGAGTCACCAATATGCAAGGATTTGAATGGCTCCTTTGATTGATTGCAATCGGTAGGCGTGTCCTCGAAAATGTTTTTTTTTTTTTTTGTTTTGTTTTTTTCCCTGTGATGTGCTGTCATCGTGCGCTGGAGGCTACACGTACGGCGGGCCCCTGCCACATACTGAAAGCTGTTTCTAATCCATTGGAGTGAATTCAGCAATAAGTTCAATGCAAGTCTTGGCTAATACGTGCCGGGTCGGGCTGTTTTGAAGAACACAGGGAAGCCGACCAATAAACAAACGGCAAAGCCAAAATGCTGAGCATGTTTTTGTAAGACGGTTCTTTTATTGAAGTGTTTCTAATAATCAAACGCAGCGGTGCGTGATACCGCATAATTTGTCTTGGGCAGAGCAAGATGGACTATTTATGCTTACGCCAAATGGACTTTGTGGGGAATCACGGAAAGTTTAAAATTGGTGTGCTGATGTTGTGATCTTTTGCCTTCTTCGGAATCTTTTGAGTGACAGTCGCGGAAGTGCACTCTAGGATTTTTTTTTTTTTTTTTTTTTACTGGGACCGCACATGTCCCAGTTGTGGCACGTGTGATTTATAACTTAAAAGTGTTTTGTGTAACCATGGCAATTCCCCAAATTCCCCCATAAAAAATGGACCGAGAATAATTCCTATGTTGCCTTAGCGTGCAACCCATTTAACGAGTTGTGGTGTTTTTCGAAAACTTTATTTTGGAGTCAGCCTGTCGCAGTTTATGACTTTAACTGTCTTTGTTTTTGGATGTCTGTTTTTGACTTTATATGCAGCGCTTTTTATGCAGCTGTGGTTGTTTTTCAAGTGCTCGATGAATAAAGTTGAGCTGAGTTGTTGAACCACAAAAACATGGCGTGGGTTGACAAAGATGAAGCGAATTGCCACAAAGAGGAAACAAGCGACAAGCAAAGAGATTTTGTTTTCATTTTTTGCGTGAATTGATTGGCTAGTACATCGGCAAAATTTCAACGTGGTTCACAGGTTATTGCAATATTGTATCGCGGCAAAACCTCGAAAGTCGAACCTCGCACTTTACATGGCAGTTCCGGCCACGTCACTTAACACTGTTTAACTGTTTTCACAATACTCGTCTTGTCCATGCATGTTGTTCGCATTTTAAATGCTAGCATGCTAGCTGTTAGCGCTGTAATAATTCCAGTTTGGTCCTTGCCATTTCTGTGGCAAATGAAAACGATGTCGCTTTTGACTGTGTCCCCCCTCCAGTGCTCCGCAACCTGCGGCAAAGGGAAGCGGGCACGCTACGTCAGCTGCAGAGACTCCCAGGGCGGCGTGGCCGACGAGTCCTACTGTGTCCACCTGCCCCGACCGCCTGAGACCTCCGCCTGCTTCAGCCGCTGCGGCCAATGGCGCAGCGGGGAATGGTCGCCTGTGAGTGATCCGTTAACTTGCTGTGTCCAATCCATGCAGATGTTTTTTGGGGGTTTTTTTTCCCAGCTACGGAGATTTGCTGTAATCACTCCCATTGTTCACATCCAATGTCGATGATGTCATAGGGGCAATGGTGTGTTTGTTTTAACGAGCGGGAGTGACTTTTTCTGAGAATCGTCTTTTCATCATTCAGCATTCATTTGGGATGAAGTCAACTTTAGATATAACAGGTTTAGTCTGTTGCGTCCTGAGTCATGGGAATGTTTGATGGAGATCACAAACAGTAATGATTTTTTTTCCCTTTAGCAATCACATCACTGTCATTGGTAATACGGTATAGTGGTTCACATAACTGTCTTCCCCCTGAAGCTGGCTGATGCTTATATGACGATCAAAGCCACATCAGCCAAACCAAGGCAGGGAAGCGGCCCCCCCCCCCCCCCCCAAAATTTAAGATTTCATGCCCATCCGATGTAAAACTGAGATGGTCACGTGTAAATATGACCAAGGTGTTTTGAAATGGTGGCTTCGCAGTCAAGGGTTTCTGGTTTGAATCAGAGCTGACTTTTCTGAGTGGAGTTTGTGTTTATTGGTTCGGTCGTCTATGTTACAGTGGAAGAGCCCCGGGTTAGAATAGTTCCCCGGGTACTCTGCCTTCCTCCCAGATTCCAAAAACAAGCTTCATGGACGACTAGGCGTGACAGTCAATGTGAATAATTCATAAATATTACTCTATATATTACATTTATTAAATATATTCCACATATTATTGTTATATTTCTTTTATTATTGAGCATCATGGTTGGTGACAGCCTGGTTAGCACGTCCAACTCACGGTACAGGGATCCAGGGTTTAAATCCAGGCTCCAGCCTTCCTGTGTGGAGTTTGCACGCTCTCCCCGTGCCTGTGTGGGTTTTCTGCGGGTACTCTGGTTTCCTCCCACATTCCAAAAACACGCATGGCAGGTTAATTGAACACTTTATATTGTTCCTTGGTGTGATTGTGAGTGTGTATGGTTATTGTTTGTCTATGTGTGCCCTGTGATTGGCTGGCAATCAGTTCAGGGTGTACCCCGCCTACCGCCCGTAAACAGCTGGGATAGCACGCCCGCGACTCTCGTGTGGATAAGCAGTTTGGGTAATGGATGGAGTTAATTATTGGTAGTAGTAGTAGTATGAGTAGTATTATTCGGATTTGGAATCATCGCTAAAAATTAATCTAGAAAAAAATACTTTCCACCCTGATTAAAACATGTCCAAATTTATTGACCAGTGTAATTGCTTCCTGTGATTGACTGACAACCTGTCCGTGGTCTTTCCCGTGTCTCACAAAGTCGGCGGGTTCCACCTCCCTCAAGATCTAGAACAGGATAAGCACTATTAAACCTGGACAGATGCCAAAAAAGGGACATTTAAGAGACGCAGTCTGTTTCTGTCTGCAGTGTTCAGTGACATGCGGCGCCGGAAGGTCCACCCGACAGGTCTTGTGCTCCAACTACCACCAGCCCGTGGACCAGTCCTTCTGCGATCCAGATGAGAAGCCCGCAACGGAGCAAGAGTGCACGACCGCGCCTTGCTCCTCGGTCAACAACCGGCAGCGCATCAACGACCAACCGTACGGATACCCCAAGGACCCGGGGCGCCATCCCGGCCACAATAGCTGGAACGTGCCGTCAACGGACAACCAATGGAGGACCGGACCCTGGGGCGCAGTATGTCCAGCGTGTGAATTGTGGTATTTTGTTCAATGATGAGGATCGGCTATCGTACTCCCGCTGAGTTCTATTTTCATGTTGCGTTTCGTCTTGAATGTATCTCCTTACTGTCAGCAAATCCAGCAGAACCTTGTCCTCTTGTGTTGTTTTGGTCCGTTCGTGTGTTGCGTACAATTTGGCATGTTTTTGGCAGTTTCTATTTTCAAGTGGTCGCAGAAGTGGCACCACAAAATGGTTTATTATTTATTTCAAGGCATTTACTACTAGATGTGGATGGATTTAAAGATTACATATTCGAACCAGTGTTATATTAGTTTTGGAGGTCGTTGCTATTTCCATTCGAGTTTTGTTTTTTTAAATATAGTTAATTGTAAGTTTTCAGGGTGGATTTGTGTGTGTTTTTTTGGGGGGGGGGTTATTTTGTTTAATGCTTCATTTTAATGGCGTTTTTATTAGTATTAGAATTAGTTTTAGTTTTTAAAATAGATTTCTTGTGGGACAAGATTAAAAAAAAAAAACATCACCGTAAATTAGATTAATTGGATGCAGGGGGCCGAGGTCAAGGCAGCGTTGTTCAGCCGTTAGCCCACAGAAAGAAGAATTTGGGCTTGAGAAACTGTTTTTCACAGGGGTGGTGAAGCATTTGGAAATGTTTCTCAATATAATGCAGAGTTGCAAAGCGAGCATGTTTATGCAATCGACCCACAAACATGCTTGGAATCCTGCTCAATGCAGTTCGTAGACAGTTCATTGGCAGTAAAGATGAATTTGAATCACCCTTGGCAAAAACGGAATACATTTCAAAGAATAATTCCCTGGCTGCGCATTTTGGTAGCGTGTACATGTGACATGTTTTACGTTTCCCAGTGTTCCAGCACCTGTGCGGGGGGCTTCCAGAGGCGAGTGGTGGTCTGCCAGGACGCCAACGGCCGCAGCAACAGTTACTGCGACGAGAGGGTCAAGCCAGCCGAATCCAAGAGCTGCAACTCGGGGCCGTGCCCGCTGTGGAACTACGGCGTCTGGGGAGAGGTGAGCTTATCTTCTCGGTTGCTTTTTATTTCTCTTTTTAATCACGCTGAACCTTACGCCACTTCCCGCGCTGCAATCAACTGTTGTGTCTGCGTTGTGTCACGCCAGCATGGTCATACGGCAGAGTTTGCCGAATCTTGATTTAAGTGGGCATCATGGATTAGTTTCTGCGCAAGATTTCCAGCGGTCCATTCTTTTTAATTCGAATTAACCATCGTACCGAGAGCCGCAGTCGCTGAGGCACTTTTAGGCACTTATTGAACAGGACAAAAGAGTCAAATACACAAAAAAACAAAATGAGAACACTCGTAAGGAGCGTGGATCAGACTGAAATGGCTCTCTCAGCGGCGCTCTTGAAGGAACACATCAGCATCAACAATTTATTTCGGAACGTTAGGAATGTCGAATGTTCAATATTTTGCTTTGTGTTCCCAGCCAAAATGTAATGACAATTTAACTCAGGAATGAATAATGATTTGACACAGTGGTATCACACTACAACTTATGAGTGACCCTACCAAGGTTAAGTATTCATTTCACTTGCTGTACGTCCATACAAAAAGAGGAAGGAGAGTCTTTTTTTTTTTCTCTTGCACTCCACAAATACTCCATATATTAAAAATAAATAAATAAATCCATAAAAACACTAAAACTAATAAAAACTAAACAAAAACATCACAGAAGCAACTACAAAAAAAATAAACAAACCTGTCCGAAAAACTAATTAAAATTAACTGAATTAAAAAAAAACAGTAAAATCAAATTGAACTAAAAATGAAATAACCACAATGAAAAATCCCAAAATATTAGATAGATGAGATGAGATGAGTCAAGGTACCACCAGATCCCTAAAGTGCATCTCGCTTGCTCCCTCAAGTGCACTCAGAGCTGCGGAGAAGGCAGGCGAACCCGTTTGGTGGTGTGCCAAAGGCCCAGCGGCGAGCGGCTCAGCGACTACAATTGCGACATCCTGGACAAGCCGCTGGACATGGAGCAGTGCAACCTGCAGCCCTGCGTAGGCTCCGCCTCCTGGCACCGCAGACCATGGAAGCCGGTACGATAGTGTTCCCTTCCCTGACCCCTTATCGGCCTTTTCGCCCGGTGGCGCGTCACCGCGAGTTGGGCCCGATGTGTATTTAGTCTAACGCTGCGGGGAGACTCAACTGAGGGTCGTTTATCACGTGTGCGCTCGTTGGCATGTGTTGCCCCCCCACCCCAAGCCCACCCAGTCGGGGCCCTGCAGTGACATGGTGCTGATTAAAACAGAGAAACAAAAGAGCTAAAACACACAAAGACACACAATGGTGCTTCTCTTAGGCGTTCATTACAAACACATGGATCTCATTTTTTTTTTTCTTCCTCCCACTCAAGCTGGTGCTGTCCAGTAATGTTATATCTATGCTGTTCTCATTGCCTTCACCATGTATCCTGAGTACACAAGTGTATATTTGTGTATAAGAGTTAAAATTATGGCTTTTTATCAAACAGCGACAAGCGGCTGTTGTTGTATTTTGTGTAATGTATCTTTGTACAGGAAGTTTGGTTTTGTTTTCTCCGAAGTGGCATATTATTATTTCTTTTTTTTTTTTTTTTGTGATCCATTATTTAAAAAAAAAAAACATTTGCCGGTGCTCTTGCTCAGACCTCTTGTATCTCTTTAAAGTAAATGCAGTGTTGTACAGAGGAAATTATTTCCATTTTTTTTTTTTCCAGTTTGAGAATGGGTGGACGGAGCATTTTTGTTGTTTTTTTTTTTAACTTCACTTTACTACAGTCAGTACATTTCGTAAGCAATGTTCGCACTATAGAATGAAAGATACATGTTAGAATATTTAAAAAAAAAAAGCATAAAATTTCACAATGAATGGTCAGTTCACAGGTAGGATGTGTACACAAAAGCACTAAACGCGCAACAGTGGACAGATAAAGTCAACACACCCCACTTATTACATTTTATCGAAATATGAGACCAAATAAATCATCAACTATTAAAGAGGACTCAGCACACCCCTGCCACCATTTAAAATACATTTGGTATAGTACAAATGCAGTTCTGATGTTCTAGTAATATAATAAATATAATAAAGCGTGACTCCAGCTCTGTGACATACAGCTTTACAGGAAACATATCATGAGCAGTCGTAAAACGTGATGCAAACCTTGGTGACGAGCAGAAGTTGGCAACGCTTAATTCAGATTGACGCGTCGCAGATGCACGTCGTATCCCCCGCAAGACACATCTTTACATCTTAGAATGTCAGCGTATTGTATTTATGCATGTTTTACTTAATTGTTCCAAGATGCTATTTATTTCTGAGGAGGACATATACACAAAAATATATATTTGAGCCCCCCCCCCCCCCGAAAATTTAAGATTTCATGCCCATCCGATGTAAAACTGAGATGGTCACGTGTAAATATGACCAAGGTGTTTTGAAATGGTGGCTTCGCAGTCAAGGGTTTCTGGTTTGAATCAGAGCTGACTTTTCTGAGTGGAGTTTGTGTTTATTGGTTCGGTCGTCTATGTTACAGTGGAAGAGCCCCGGGTTAGAATAGTTCCCCGGGTACTCTGCCTTCCTCCCAGATTCCAAAAACAAGCTTCATGGACGACTAGGCGTGACAGTCAATGTGAATAATTCATAAATATTACTCTATATATTACATTTATTAAATATATTCCACATATTATTGTTATATTTCTTTTATTATTGAGCATCATGGTTGGTGACAGCCTGGTTAGCACGTCCAACTCACGGTACAGGGATCCAGGGTTTAAATCCAGGCTCCAGCCTTCCTGTGTGGAGTTTGCACGCTCTCCCCGTGCCTGTGTGGGTTTTCTGCGGGTACTCTGGTTTCCTCCCACATTCCAAAAACACGCATGGCAGGTTAATTGAACACTTTATATTGTTCCTTGGTGTGATTGTGAGTGTGTATGGTTATTGTTTGTCTATGTGTGCCCTGTGATTGGCTGGCAATCAGTTCAGGGTGTACCCCGCCTACCGCCCGTAAACAGCTGGGATAGCACGCCCGCGACTCTCGTGTGGATAAGCAGTTTGGGTAATGGATGGAGTTAATTATTGGTAGTAGTAGTAGTATGAGTAGTATTATTCGGATTTGGAATCATCGCTAAAAATTAATCTAGAAAAAAATACTTTCCACCCTGATTAAAACATGTCCAAATTTATTGACCAGTGTAATTGCTTCCTGTGATTGACTGACAACCTGTCCGTGGTCTTTCCCGTGTCTCACAAAGTCGGCGGGTTCCACCTCCCTCAAGATCTAGAACAGGATAAGCACTATTAAACCTGGACAGATGCCAAAAAAGGGACATTTAAGAGACGCAGTCTGTTTCTGTCTGCAGTGTTCAGTGACATGCGGCGCCGGAAGGTCCACCCGACAGGTCTTGTGCTCCAACTACCACCAGCCCGTGGACCAGTCCTTCTGCGATCCAGATGAGAAGCCCGCAACGGAGCAAGAGTGCACGACCGCGCCTTGCTCCTCGGTCAACAACCGGCAGCGCATCAACGACCAACCGTACGGATACCCCAAGGACCCGGGGCGCCATCCCGGCCACAATAGCTGGAACGTGCCGTCAACGGACAACCAATGGAGGACCGGACCCTGGGGCGCAGTATGTCCAGCGTGTGAATTGTGGTATTTTGTTCAATGATGAGGATCGGCTATCGTACTCCCGCTGAGTTCTATTTTCATGTTGCGTTTCGTCTTGAATGTATCTCCTTACTGTCAGCAAATCCAGCAGAACCTTGTCCTCTTGTGTTGTTTTGGTCCGTTCGTGTGTTGCGTACAATTTGGCATGTTTTTGGCAGTTTCTATTTTCAAGTGGTCGCAGAAGTGGCACCACAAAATGGTTTATTATTTATTTCAAGGCATTTACTACTAGATGTGGATGGATTTAAAGATTACATATTCGAACCAGTGTTATATTAGTTTTGGAGGTCGTTGCTATTTCCATTCGAGTTTTGTTTTTTTAAATATAGTTAATTGTAAGTTTTCAGGGTGGATTTGTGTGTGTTTTTTTGGGGGGGGGGTTATTTTGTTTAATGCTTCATTTTAATGGCGTTTTTATTAGTATTAGAATTAGTTTTAGTTTTTAAAATAGATTTCTTGTGGGACAAGATTAAAAAAAAAAAAACATCACCGTAAATTAGATTAATTGGATGCAGGGAGCCGAGGTCAAGGCAGCGTTGTTCAGCCGTTAGCCCACAGAAAGAAGAATTTGGGCTTGAGAAACTGTTTTTCACAGGGGTGGTGAAGCATTTGGAAATGTTTCTCAATATAATGCAGAGTTGCAAAGCGAGCATGTTTATGCAATCGACCCACAAACATGCTTGGAATCCTGCTCAATGCAGTTCGTAGACAGTTCATTGGCAGTAAAGATGAATTTGAATCACCCTTGGCAAAAACGGAATACATTTCAAAGAATAATTCCCTGGCTGCGCATTTTGGTAGCGTGTACATGTGACATGTTTTACGTTTCCCAGTGTTCCAGCACCTGTGCGGGGGGCTTCCAGAGGCGAGTGGTGGTCTGCCAGGACGCCAACGGCCGCAGCAACAGTTACTGCGACGAGAGGGTCAAGCCAGCCGAATCCAAGAGCTGCAACTCGGGGCCGTGCCCGCTGTGGAACTACGGCGTCTGGGGAGAGGTGAGCTTATCTTCTCGGTTGCTTTTTATTTCTCTTTTTAATCACGCTGAACCTTACGCCACTTCCCGCGCTGCAATCAACTGTTGTGTCTGCGTTGTGTCACGCCAGCATGGTCATACGGCAGAGTTTGCCGAATCTTGATTTAAGTGGGCATCATGGATTAGTTTCTGCGCAAGATTTCCAGCGGTCCATTCTTTTTAATTCGAATTAACCATCGTACCGAGAGCCGCAGTCGCTGAGGCACTTTTAGGCACTTATTGAACAGGACAAAAGAGTCAAATACACAAAAAAACAAAATGAGAACACTCGTAAGGAGCGTGGATCAGACTGAAATGGCTCTCTCAGCGGCGCTCTTGAAGGAACACATCAGCATCAACAATTTATTTCGGAACGTTAGGAATGTCGAATGTTCAATATTTTGCTTTGTGTTCCCAGCCAAAATGTAATGACAATTTAACTCAGGAATGAATAATGATTTGACACAGTGGTATCACACTACAACTTATGAGTGACCCTACCAAGGTTAAGTATTCATTTCACTTGCTGTACGTCCATACAAAAAGAGGAAGGAGAGTCTTTTTTTTTTTCTCTTGCACTCCACAAATACTCCATATATTAAAAATAAATAAATAAATCCATAAAAACACTAAAACTAATAAAAACTAAACAAAAACATCACAGAAGCAACTACAAAAAAAATAAACAAACCTGTCCGAAAAACTAATTAAAATTAACTGAATTAAAAAAAAACAGTAAAATCAAATTGAACTAAAAATGAAATAACCACAATGAAAAATCCCAAAATATTAGATAGATGAGATGAGATGAGTCAAGGTACCACCAGATCCCTAAAGTGCATCTCGCTTGCTCCCTCAAGTGCACTCAGAGCTGCGGAGAAGGCAGGCGAACCCGTTTGGTGGTGTGCCAAAGGCCCAGCGGCGAGCGGCTCAGCGACTACAATTGCGACATCCTGGACAAGCCGCTGGACATGGAGCAGTGCAACCTGCAGCCCTGCGTAGGCTCCGCCTCCTGGCACCGCAGACCATGGAAGCCGGTACGATAGTGTTCCCTTCCCTGACCCCTTATCGGCCTTTTCGCCCGGTGGCGCGTCACCGCGAGTTGGGCCCGATGTGTATTTAGTCTAACGCTGCGGGGAGACTCAACTGAGGGTCGTTTATCACGTGTGCGCTCGTTGGCATGTGTTGCCCCCCCACCCCAAGCCCACCCAGTCGGGGCCCTGCAGTGACATGGTGCTGATTAAAACAGAGAAACAAAAGAGCTAAAACACACAAAGACACACAATGGTGCTTCTCTTAGGCGTTCATTACAAACACATGGATCTCATTTTTTTTTTTCTTCCTCCCACTCAAGCTGGTGCTGTCCAGTAATGTTATATCTATGCTGTTCTCATTGCCTTCACCATGTATCCTGAGTACACAAGTGTATATTTGTGTATAAGAGTTAAAATTATGGCTTTTTATCAAACAGCGACAAGCGGCTGTTGTTGTATTTTGTGTAATGTATCTTTGTACAGGAAGTTTGGTTTTGTTTTCTCCGAAGTGGCATATTATTATTTCTTTTTTTTTTTTTTTGTGATCCATTATTTAAAAAAAAAAAACATTTGCCGGTGCTCTTGCTCAGACCTCTTGTATCTCTTTAAAGTAAATGCAGTGTTGTACAGAGGAAATTATTTCCATTTTTTTTTTTTCCAGTTTGAGAATGGGTGGACGGAGCATTTTTGTTGTTTTTTTTTTTAACTTCACTTTACTACAGTCAGTACATTTCGTAAGCAATGTTCGCACTATAGAATGAAAGATACATGTTAGAATATTTAAAAAAAAAAAGCATAAAATTTCACAATGAATGGTCAGTTCACAGGTAGGATGTGTACACAAAAGCACTAAACGCGCAACAGTGGACAGATAAAGTCAACACACCCCACTTATTACATTTTATCGAAATATGAGACCAAATAAATCATCAACTATTAAAGAGGACTCAGCACACCCCTGCCACCATTTAAAATACATTTGGTATAGTACAAATGCAGTTCTGATGTTCTAGTAATATAATAAATATAATAAAGCGTGACTCCAGCTCTGTGACATACAGCTTTACAGGAAACATATCATGAGCAGTCGTAAAACGTGATGCAAACCTTGGTGACGAGCAGAAGTTGGCAACGCTTAATTCAGATTGACGCGTCGCAGATGCACGTCGTATCCCCCGCAAGACACATCTTTACATCTTAGAATGTCAGCGTATTGTATTTATGCATGTTTTACTTAATTGTTCCAAGATGCTATTTATTTCTGAGGAGGACATATACACAAAAATATATATTTGAGTCAGCTGCTTCCCCTTTGTTCAATTGATTAAAGAACCCAAACTGTGACACTTGTCATTTCTCCATGCGCACAACATATCGCACATTCTAAAAGAAGGCTTCAGTAAAAAATAAAAATTAAAAAAAAAAACAGAACATCCAACCAAGATGTCACATCAAGTATTTGAATCAGTTTATTCAGTAGATACAAAATATACAGGATTCATGCATTCAACCCACCAAACAACAGCAACATAATCAATCCGATATCTGTTTTATGCACTTTAATGAAGCAGTATTGATTAATTGCAAGTTTAATTATTATCATGAATGATATTGCAAAAAAATCTATAGGAATGTTTCTTGTTACCATCTCTCATTGCTTACTATCCTAAATGACTAGCTAGCTAGCGATCTCGCTAGCGGTCTATCTAGCTAGCTATCCTGCTAGCGATCAATCTAGCTCGCTCTCTGGTGATCGAGCGAGCTACCTGGAATTCTTTCAATGTATCTGTCTAGCTAGCAAGCTAGCTAAGGATATATCTATCTATCTATCTATCTATCTATCATTATTGCATGTTGTGTAGTAACTATAACAAGAACTAAATAATATACTTAATCAATAAATATTATTGCTGCTCTAGGTTTAATACAATTATTCATATTTTTCCATACTGAAATATATTTATCGTTTTTTTAAGAGGAGATCAATAAAACCAATAATCGAAACATCGACAAATTGTGAAAAAGAACAACCCATTAATCAGAATAGTAGATACAGAACACTATATAGCATAAAAACATATATTCATGGGAAGAATATCATTAAATGCTTGCATCCATATTACTCTTCCTTTCCTTCCTTTATTAGGTCATAGCGTCATTTTTGAAGTAGCCTTACCTTGCGTGGGAGCCTTTTTTGTTTATTCTTCTCACCATGCTGTTTGTTACCTGTTATAAATTCAACGCAATAGCAGCCATCTGCAATTATTACTATTATAATGAATGATGGACTTTCAATATGCTAGTGTGGTTTGTAATCACATTTTCTTGCGCTACTCCATTTAGGCAATCATCTTCTGTTTTGATCATGCCCATAAATCGACGCTAGGTTTTATTTCAAATGATTTTTTGCTCACCCTAATTGGGTGTGACAGCTTCGGGTACTCATGTTGTTCTCGCCATCAAATTTGTCCAAAAGAAAAGACACAAAGCAATTGGGGTATTTATTGCACAGACAATAGAAAAGCAAAATGTCATGAGCGTGAATCAACTTGGAAGCAATCGGCAGTGTGTGTAGTGTTGGGCTTCCACGTGGGATCAATTGGCCAGGAAAATATCAATTTCAGTCATTTCGGGCTAGCTGGCTTCTAATAAAAACAGATCGCTTCCTGGTGAGCTGCGTTTCCATGGATGGTCTCACGGTAACTGAACTCATCCCAAATGAAATCCACATGCACAACGTTGACATATTTGACTTTAGCCCGAGGGTAGAGCATGCCACAAACCTGTCACACACACACACACACACACACTCACGCACACACACGTACACACCAGAGGAGTCCATTGCTCGTGACATCACTGGGCTCATGTTTCCTTCTCCTCTCGGCGTCCTTTTGCTTGTTTAATGTATTGTAGAGCTTTCATTTCAATCTGGGGGTGGGCAACCGTCATCCATTTTCCACTTTTGCTCATTTGAATGGAAGTGAAAGCCTTTATTGTCATTGTTTGGTTTACCAAATTGGGGTGAGCTGGAGCCTATACCAGAAAGGTGAAGGAGGTACACTCTGGACGATTCGCCAGCTAAACACATACAGACAAACAAACATTCACACTTAGCGTATTAGATGGGAAGACAAGAGATTGTATGGTGGCACTAAAGGGACAATATACATTGCGTAGGAAAATGCGCGTGTTGAGCTCAGCAGTGAGTCATGAGACACAAATGTAATGAAATATGTGTATAAATATGTAAGGAAATATGTGATCAATTCAAACCACAGGCATTGCTGATGAATGAGAGGAGGCAGGGCGTGAACCTCCTTCCGGGTTTCGGGTTCTCCTGATGGAACAAGAGAGGGTCCACAGCCCCTCTTTGACCAAGGTCACAAATGGACTGCTCTTCTTCAACGTCCGCCGTCACCTTTTAAACCCGCGAGTGCGCTTCATAAGCGTAAAAATTCACGTCTCAGACACAGCGGAGCTCGCATCCGGTCTTGTTCGAGCCTGTCCGTGCTTGCAAGTAGATGGGCGGGGGTCTTCGGACTTGTACTACATTTTTCTGAACTATCTCATGGCGACCAACTCATGTCCGTAACGGCTCGCTGAAAATCATAGCTCGGTACATACCTTAGTTTTAAGGTCACGTTCACTTTCGGGGCGGTAGGGGAACATATGTTTTCTGTAAACAGGAACAAATTTAGTGACATTTAAAATGAAACACAACATAATGCAACCCGCTACCTGTGAATTCGCCAATACATGAAAGGTGAAATACCATTTTTTTAGAGGTGTGACTATTAATCGATTAATCGATAACTAATAAGAGTGCCAAATTAATTGATGAATGATTTAGATGCCTTTTTTTCATGTAAAATAGTCCAAATGCCTAGAATTTCAGATTCTCAACAGTAAACATTATCGAATTTCTCTAGCGACGTGATTATCTTTGTATCCAATCAAAATAAAACATTTGATTTTACTTTGCAAAGAAATGATAACATTATTGCCGATTTTCTGACAGAAAAACAGTCACTGAAAGTAATGGAAATTTAAACGTGTTTTTCTTTGACGTGTCTCTTTGAAACGGAATTTTTGCAGACGTAGGCTGTCCAGTTTTACTGAGTCGGTCGGTGCCACCTTCATCTTCATTCGCCAAAAAAAAAAAAAAAAAAAAAAAAAAAAAAGCAGCCCTTCAGTTTAAAAATCAAGCTCATGGGTATGCATAATTGAGCAACGCTTAAGCCTGAATGAAAACTTCCATCCACCAGGAGGCCGAAAAAAGCTGTAAAAGGGAGACAGTTGGAATAGTTAAAGCACGGAAATAAACATCCTCGGGGTGTGCTGTCCCGCTATTGCAGCAGTTTGTTTTATTGTGTCCATGTTTTGAGAGCGGCGGGTCAATATCTTGAAGGTTTTCTAAGAACCGCTGCCTGAGTGGAAACACAGCTGGCTAGCGTTTAAGAAGGAAGACGAAATGTAGCTTTTTTTATTTTTATTTTTGTCGACGTCAAAGGTCAACCACTTTGTGTCGTTACCGCCAAACTCCTTCTCTCCGCGAGACATATGCTGTTTTGTGTAAGGATCTTTCGTTTACGTTTGTGTCGCATAGCCCGAAGGCGGGGAGGGGGTGGCGGGAAGCCCTCCGTGGAATGTTTAGTCCGGAACTGTGCTGTTTTGGCATTTCACTTTGACTTATGGCCACTTGGCATATCTCCTTCTGAGTGCTGTTGGCTGAAAAAGGAAACAGATTGAAAGAAATTGTACAACGCGTACTTGGACCGCAGTTCCTTGATAGCAGCGTCGTAGTCAAAGGGGTGGAAAAACCACAGACGACGTTGATAGAAACGACATTGGACTTGGACAGAACATCAGAAAACGTGACCGTCACATCTGAAAGTCATCAGCGCGTTTGTGTGGGAAGCAAGGCAAAAAAGCGTGTGTGTTTCACTTGCGCTTTGCTCTATACCATGTCCCAACTATGTCAGGATTTCACCTTATTTTGCTTCCAACACATCTGGCCGCAGAACACATCAAACGCCTCTCGATGTTTCCCGTGACAACATTCCTACCAGCTGCTTCCCCCGTCCGGTGTTGTTTTGACTCCTCGAGCTCCTTGCAAACGTGATCGGGATGTTCTGTGACTCTTTATCGTCCTCCCTCGCATCCCCGTCGGGTTTTATCGAGCCCAGGCGTGCTTGTACTGGTAGAAAACAAAAACAGACACCGGGTGGTTTGAATCGCTCTTCTCTTTTGATTCGGAGGACACGGCAGGCATGATGTATTAACCAGATACAGTGGAATCTCGAACGTGTAGTACGCAGATACAAGTTTAACCCTTTCATGCACCTTGTAACTGCATAACATGATAAGTTGTCCACTGTAGTGACCGCTATCCCTCAAAGAGTTAAATTCCAGGTCCAATCACAATTGGTGTAACCCCGATCCTCTTTTAAAAATAGTATGACTCTTCCCATCATCTTTTATTCAGATGTAACTTTCGGCTTTTCGCTGTCAAGGGTCGCACAGCAAGCATGTTTGTTTTCGCGCCAGATGTCGTTCCTGATATAAGCCACCCGTTTTTGTCGCTGCGTTTGGGGCCGGCAGTGGTTGGGAATTGGTGCACTGAATTAAAAAAAACGTGTTGTCTGCATGATACTGAGCAGCCGATCACATTTCATCAACATCACCATTTGAGATATTTACACCTGGAGGCCTTTTTACATAGTCAGGCACACATGCCCTTGGTGTAAAATAAAACAAAAAACAAAAAAAAAATGGAGCACCTTCATTTTCGAGCCGGGGCATGTCTAGATTACTGTTTTGGGGAAGTTGGTGCCTCACTGAATTGGACCTGGAGCTTTTTTTTTTCTTGCACACCCCGACGTGCTTTGGAGTAGGTCTAAATTGTGGCGCAGGTGGTGTGTCACGATTTTGGTGAATTTGTTCGAGATGCAAGCAGACAGATCAAGCGCTTCGGGCACATATGTGATGGATGTGATCATATTTCATTCATCAGTAAAACAATATGGTGCATCAAACCCTCTGAATCATTGTAGAAATCATTTTTAATATCGTCTTTAATATGTTTTTTAAAATCACTGCGACACAGCTCTTGGAAGGATATGATCAATGAAATATGGAAGTCGGTCTACAAATGCCTCCTTGGCAGCGGCCAACTTTACAATACATAATCAGCAAGTGGAGATCTTGCAGTTCTCTATGTAGGTAATTTGCGCGTGCTTGTACGGACTCCAATCAGTGTTTTATGCTTCTGTCGTGTAGATCGCGTGCCTCTCCTGCGCCGAGTTAAAAGTGAATCAAGGAAGCTGCTTTGATCGTCCAGGAATCAAGTTGCCTCTGTTCGCTCCCACAATGGCGCAAACCCATTTCTAACTTCGCTCTGCTGTGAAAATACCAAAAGAAAGAAAAACTCCACTCTTGTGCACAGTTAGACTGCACTTTGCACTATACTTTCTCCGGCATGAAAATATAGCCCCAAATGTTCCCAAAAAAGTCCGGTAGTTTATGCTAACACATCATGCGAAACACCATCGTCCGCTAACAGGAATTAGCAAAAATGTTGCCGAATTCTAAGCCTTGAAAACAACGACTTCTTTAACACACATGGCGGAACAATGCATACAAGCAGAGTTAAAAGTTCTCCCACGTCGCGCCCTTGACAAGACGTCAATGAGATTCCGACTCGAGACGCTCTCCCCCTTAGTCTAAACATGCACGTTGCCCCAAGGCTAGCTCACTTTTCGAAAATGTGTTCACCATTACCTTCGAGCCACCATCGTGATTGACACGTTCCCTTGACACTCACCTTTTCAGCGGTCGCCGTCTCCCCTAAAAGCCCCGACTAATGATAGCGTGCCATAGAAGGCAAGCCGTTAGTCTACAAAGCAGGAAAACCATCAGATCCCAATACAAAGGTTATCTTTGATGACACCGTCTGCTGTCTTTCGAAGATAAAAGTGTTGGAATGTGAAATTTGACGAGAAAGATTCTATTTTTAACCAAAGCTTTGTGGTCATAAGCAGGGGGGGAAAAAAATAAAGCACCCCCAAAAATTCCACTCTCACAACAATGTGGCGTGCTCACTATACTAAGTAGAGAAAAGAAATAAAAATATCTGTCTTATACAACATTTTTTTAGTCTTTTTTTCCCCAACTTTTTTTGTTGGGGTGGGGTAAAAGCTCGATAACCAACCTCAAACGGTTTAACCCATGCCAGTAATGTTTTGGAAGCAATCACATAATTTTCAGTTTATTTGGCTTAAAAACAATAAAGGACAGTCCAGTTACTGAGTGTCATCATTTTCCATTTGTTTGGTTTCTAACAGGCGTGGAAAACAGGGGCGGAGCCAGAAATTTTTCAGTGGGGTGGCACAACACAGTTGCGGTCGTGCGTCATTCTTTTTCCTACCTTCCACAGTCAGGCTTTCGTGAAATAAAATGAAATAAAATCCCACTTTCATTTGTATACTAATCTCTTCCAGACTGTTGATGCTAACAATAAACAGTTACTTCTCCGCCATGTTGTTTGCTCGCTCCAGTGCGAAAATAATGACTTTGATTGATGTTGACTCAAAGAATTAAATGTTCTTTACATAAAACAGATTTTAGAATTTGCAGTTGTTTATTTATTCTTGAAATATGCAGTTAGTATATATATAAAAAAAACTTGTAGCAGAGTATCAAGGGGGCAAAGGAATTTGCATCCATGTGAAAATGCCGGAAGGAAACCACAAATATCAAAATTTTCCCCTAATTGTGGGGGGTAGCCATAGAGGGCCATGGCCACCACTGTCCACCCTTTAGCTCCGCCCCTGGTGGAATGCTTTCTCATGCTTCTGATTGACTTACCTGAAGGCAGAAAATGAGTGGACGGGCTCATCTTTCAGTTGTCAGTCCTGCACAAAGATGTTGTCCCCCCCCCCCCCAAAAAAAAAAAAAAGAAGACAACCATGAATGTTAAACGACGCCGTAACAGACAACTCTCGATTAATTCTCGCCCATCTGTCTGGTTCGGCATTCAATTAAGTGATTTGCTGGGAGAACTGCGCAACTGTCAAATGTGGAATGTCACCCTGGATCGACTTAAAGCGAATAATTCCCATCTTCTCGCTCCATTATGGAGGAGAATAGCCGTTTTCCTTGGCTGCTATTCTGCTGGTTTTTGCACGGCGGATGAGTGATTCCACTTTAATCCCCGCGTGAATCGTTTCTCCCCATCCCCGGATTACGACAGATTTAAAGCGGCTAATCATGTGAAATTAATGGCCGCGACAACGTGGGAGGGCAAAAAGTATGTCAAGAGTGTTTCCCACATTTTTTTTTGCACTTTTCTCACGCATTCGTAGTGACATTTAAGACTTATTTTCATGTAAATTACAATTTCAACAGTGGCGGCGGAGTTCCGCTGTCTGTTGAGACATTGTGTTAGTAAGTAGAAATTGTGAAAGGGCGCCCTACCTGAGTGGGTGCTCTTGGGTCCCAAAGGTCAGCTGTTTATTGTCTGCCCCCCCCCCTTTTTTTTTTTTTTTGGTCTGAGAGTTTGAAGCGCTCCTGCGGTCCACTACACTTCACTGCACTATGTTGTGCTGTGCCAGCTCTCTGTGATGCACTAATGGCTGACATATGATGCGAGGGAGGAGCACATAGTCTTTACCTCCCCCCCACCTCCCCAACACACAGCACACACACACACACACACACACTCCTCCCCCTCCTCCTGCCATTAAAATGCAGATAAAGTTCAGCCATGGGAGCGTAGCCCGTATGGCTGCGATTTTCTTTCTTCCTTCCCTCTTTTTACGGCACCGAGGAGGGGCCTGCTCTTCTCTCTACACCCCCCCCCCCTCCCCACCCGCCTTCCACAAAAAGCAGTCTGAGGTGGTGGAGGGGAGTTATCTTTTTGTGTGTGTGCGTGCAACAGGGTATGCGAATCCGTCAGCTTTGATGTCGTGCGTCAGCTGAGGCTGCCCTGTGTTTAAAATACCTCGGTAATTACAATGTGTGTGATGCATGTGTGCGCTGTGTCACCCGTTAATGTCGCACTCACGGGGCGGCTCGTTTGGAAGCGCACTCAAAAGCAGAGGTGACAAAAGTAGTCAGGCTCTGATTTAAAAAATAGACGACAGTTGAAAAAAGAAAAGAAAAAGACTGGTCGAAGTATAAATACTGATTCAAATCCTTTAAAACAAGTCGTGCAAGCGTCCGCTGCGGTGGACAAGCCAAAAGTTGCAACGACTTGAGTCAAAGTTGTGAAAGTAATTTCATGTGCTTGCGTTTGTGGTTTTGTTCGTTCGATCACAACCCTCCGATAGTCATCACGTACACCCCAGAGCAGTCTCTCACCTTTTACCTTGTTACGCAAGTAAAGCACCTTACTCATAATGGGGTGTTATTATTACACTCAACGTTATTGGTTGAACGTTTTAGTTTTTTACAAGGCCACAGGATGGGAGACGATTGTTTTGGGTTTTTTTTTCCTTGGGGCGCTGCGTTTCTAGTAAATTGTTTTATTTTTATTTTTATTGCAAAGCTCCCCTATAACTTGCATAGTGCTCGTAATAGGGAAATAAAAAGCTAGCTGGTGTTGACTCTGTTGCCATCGCTTTGCTAATGTTGTGAACTAAATAACACAAAAAATGCTAAATCAGTTTATAACAAAAGATAAAAAAAATGTAGGCCATGGAATGGGAATATCTTGCTTCTCTGTATTTGGTGCATTGTTATTGTTCATGCCCGCGAGCTTATAAGAGCCCAAGATCTCAATCAATCAAGACCGTAGTTGACATTGTTTCACCATCCATGGTTGAAAAAAGTAACAAGCCTTTTTTTTTTTTGGTGGGGGCGGGCAACATAAGGAGAAGAAAGTACCAATTTCTTGATTCGGATATAGGCAATAAAAGTAAAAAGTTGTCCGAAAAACGAATACTCAAGTCTTGTACAAAATAGGAACTCCGGTCCTTGAGAGCCACGATCCTGCAGTCACAATCAGCTCCTCAGCAAGCCTGAGAGCCTTGAGAGCCTGATAGCGACCCCGATCATCTGAATCGGTTGTGTTGACGGAGGGAAACATCTAAAACATGCAATATGGCCGCCAGAGTTCCTATTTGTACTTTACTTGAGTACTGGCAGAGGTTTGACACCTGTGGCATTCGAGTCCTGACCATGCCGGCCGTATGGGTTCAGTTCCCACTCAGCGACGGTGTGAACGTGAATGCGAATGGTCGTCGTTGTCTATGTGCTCTCCGATTGACCAACAACCAATCCGGGGCGCCGTCTGCCTTTCGCTTGAAGTCGGCCGGAATGGGCTCCAACTCCCCGCAAGCAAGATAAGCCGTGTAGAAAAACGGATCATGGTAGCACAGATACAACTTGTGACAAGATCCTGGTTTTCCATGAGTGCTCTCGTCTTGTGTTGGATGTTACGCAACCTTCTGAGATCATCATTAGGGGACAAAGCAATATTATGCGCATGATCTGGACCGGAAAATACACCAAGGCAAAATGGCCTTCGCCGTGTCTCTTGAACCCTGTTTTGTAAAGGGGCACCCGGCGTAGTCGTCGGGCAGAAAATAGCCGACATCCTAATTGTTGTCTGGCCTCACGGGGGGGAGGAGGGTGGGGGGGGGGACTCATCCGTCATCCCTGGCACATTTTAGGGCTTTTATCGGCGTGTCTGCTTTGTAACCGTTTTGGTCGTCACTCTGGCGTTCCTGAAGTTCTTCAGGATTCTTTTATTGGTACCAGATGAACGTCTCGCCGTACGTCCATGTTTGGCTCGGCCACGCTGTCGTTTACAGGAGCCTCCTACAAGTCATTTGTTTTGTTTACAGGTTAAATAGCCGGACGCATTCCACGGGCGTGAGTGTTCCATTTGGGTTGTTTAGCGGAGATGATGTGTTTGCAGCACGCTCGCTTGGCCGTGAAATGCAGCGAGGAAGCCCCGGCCACCAAAAAACCGAGCATCCGTTCGTTTTGTCAAACACCCGTATTGACCTCAATGATTTGTAATTTTGGAATCGAGAATTATTAGGAGAATACAATAGAACTATCGTTTTGCCAAAATAGATTCTCTAGTAATCCAGAAAAGTTGAATTAGGGCTACCGGATTATGGATCTTACGGATCGTATTCAGCTTGCGTGTACTTTTCATGGATTCTGCTGATGATTCGATTTCTTTCTTTCTTTTTCCTGCAGTGTTCAGTGACTTGTGGGCGAGGCATCAAGCAGCGGGAGATCACCTGCATTGACCAGAACCAAACCAAAATAGAAGAGGAACACTGCGGTGCTCTTCCTCGCCCCCGGACCGAGAAGGCCTGTCGGGCCCGCCGGTGCCCCACGTGGAAAGCCACCAGATGGAGCACGGTATGGAGAATTATCCAATAATTCTCCTGTTTTTTTCTTTTCAAAAGTTGTTTGACCTTTAAAAAATTGAGATTGAACCGCAAAGTTGTGGGGCCTTCAAATTTCCAATGTTTTTTTTTTTTTTTTTTTTTTTTTGGTCACCTGTCTGATCCTTTTCCCGTATAAATCTTGACACGACAAAGGATTTCTACCAGTGCTTGTGCCTTTTAGGGCGAAATGATTTCAAACAGCCAAGCCAAAAAAGGTACACGAATCTGTCCCCGTTGACCTTTTTTTTTTCTTCTTCTTCTTCTTTTTGGGGGAGGATATCACAAGTGTCATAGCAGCCTGAACAAGAATGCTGTGTCACGGGTTTATCTTCCAAGAACAAGTAAACACTGTGATGGCCCATAGACAGAATGCATGTGGGCTATTTTTCTCCCCACCTCATCATGCACACGTTAAAGTCTCCACAAAGACCCCCCCACCCCCGCCCCTTCAAGTCAAATAACTAAAATCCCCAAAGATCCATTTACGCCCTCCACTCCCCACGCTTTATGGGTCTCCTCCTTCTCTTTTTTTTTCAATGTTGTGTCGTTCTGGAAGCAATCATCGTCCTCTGAAAACCACCGCCGAGCATGAAGTCACGAGCATGCGGACGTACGTAGGCGATAGTTCGAGATCTTCAAGTCCATGCATGTGGCCCCCTTTGAAACCCGCGCACCAACCGGTCGTCCTCTCGATGACCTCTCTTTAAAGCGGTGGCATGATGATCCGATCCTTCAACTGTGTTTACTGGATTTGTTACGCTTAGCCAACGGTCTGTTGTTCATTTTAGATGGCCGATAGCGGAACAATAACAGCATTTCTGTATCAACCCGTTCCACTGTTATTATCAATAGTGTGTAACTAGGCGAGGGACATTAAGAACTCATTGGAACTGAACAAAACGTGTTGGCTCACTATTTGGCAAGTTCAAGCTAATGCTGCTATGTGGCAGTTGTACCATGTGACGTCTCCCAGCCAATCAGTGAAGCCAGGTGCTAATTGTTACGAAGGAGAAAAAAAATACATGTAATAAAGTAAATCCCCGCCCTCAGTATGCAGGTACGCATTTTAAAGAACGTATATGGCTCCGCAAGCTGCGACCGACTGTTTTTGTAGACGGGCGTATAGCTCAGGAGCTTGAAAGCAAGTGAAAGAAATACAAATCCTCATAAGAAATGTGATAATAATGCTCGCCAATGTTTCATTTGACATGTCTCGTTTTTGGGCCGTGATTCACGTCAGTTCATTTGGTGCAACTGCTCTCCGAGGGGTGATTGCATCTGTGTTAACTGCAGACTAACGAGCAGATCTAACCTGATGCAGGTGTTAGTTTTGGGGAATGGAAATTTACAGGGGCAAGTCCGTATTTTTTTTTTGCTTGGTCTAAAAAAAAAATGTAGCTGTTACTGACCACAGACATTTCTTTCTTAATTCCTTTTAGTCTCTCTTAAAGCCAAAAAGTTGCCATTTGATACACCTTGAAAATCAAGCAACCGAATGAACATCCTCTGAGATTGCTGATTCCAGATTTTTGGGCAGGGGTTTGTAGAAATATTCCACGGCTTGACTTTGACAATCTGACGCATACTTTTTTTGGCTCGTCAGTGCTCGGTCACATGCGGAGTGGGACTCCAGAGCCGGGGCGTCTACTGCAGGCTCAAAGGCAGCGGAAAGGTCAGAGAAGATCTATGTGAGGCTCCATCACGGCCCGCCGTCATCCAGCGGTGCCAAGCTGCAGAATGCACCCATTACACTTGGGTCGCCGCCGCATGGAAAGAAGTGAGAAGGAATTGTTTTTCGTCTTTGTGTTTGGGATACATTTCAAAGCATTTTAGGTTCATGAAACCCTTTGGAATGATACAGCCTTCCATCGTGTTTCAGATTTTTTTTTTTGTTTGTTTTTTTAAACACAATGCAGGCAAATCTGAATTTAGAGTTGCGTGGCTTCGGGTTGCTACCACATTTGTGCCACAACATTCCGAGCATGCTAAGCTAGATGAGCGTTTTGTTTTTTGATGGACGTTTGAGTTTGTTTGTCTTTTCATTTCTTAGTTTGTTAGTTCTGAAGTTATCTTGTTCCTCGGTTATCGGGATTATTTCTTAGTTATTTAGTTAGCTAGCTAGCTAGCTAGCTATACAGGTAGTTAAATTGCCTGTTAGTTTATTGCTTTTTTTAGTAAGGAGCATATTCTCTACAAGTGCCATTCCCTTAGTTTTTCATATCTTCAACCAACATCCTTGTTCACTACCGCCTGCTGCTATGCAGATGTCGACATGTTCCATGGGATGTTGTTTTATTGCCCCTTTATTTGTAACATTAAAGAGACAACCTGAAGGCTCGCTTTCTCTCTCTCACTGCTGATGCCTTCTCGGGTACACATCGTTTTTTTAAATGACATACAAAGCAGACTGCCTTTTATTCCGTTTCCACACTTGGCTGTAGTTTCAAGCTTAGCTTTTCATCCACCCTCGTCGCTGTCATGTGGCTTTGTCCTCCAATGGCAAGGCATAAAGCAGGATCACCATGCAAGGACTCTCAGACCTCTCAAGATGCCTGAGCACGTTTCCTTGAAAACCAGAAACGTTTTTTTTTTACCGGGAAGTCAGTCACAAAAAAAATCCTTCAGACATGGTGCTTAAATACCGAGACTGTAGTAGGTATGTGAACTCTGCAGGCAAAACATATTGTGAACGCCGCTATTCAACGGGTATTGGGACCAAGCCCTGCTGTGATTAGCGAAAATGTGTGACTAATTGGACGCCACCACCACCCCACACACAAAGTGGGTTTGTAATACCCGAGACATGCCACAAGATGGCAGCAAAATACTTGAAACAGAGAGGATCATAAAGCATCAACACCTTAAATTATTCAACACAATCTTCATATAAGATAAGATAAGATAAGAAACCCTTTAATAGTCTTGCAATGGAGAAATTCCCAATTCACAGCAGCAAAGTTATGAATGGAAGAAGTAGAACAACATATGAGGTTCATCAATAGTGTTAGGTAGCATACAAGCTCAGTAACTGGTGTGAAGTTACCCATGGGCAAACCAATATGTGCACTAGCACTTTATGCAATTGATTGAAGTTTTTAAACTTAAAATGACACGCACCTTTTGGCATTCACACACAATAACAAATGCACGGGATTACAGGCAAACTTTATCAGCAAAGTCTACTCCACGGAGTATTTGTTGATGTATCAGGAGAACAGCAAAGCTGGTCATCCCAGAAGCCAAAGCACCTCATGAATTAAACCGAACAACATCAATATTCTATAACATGGTCCCAAAGTCAGACTTTTTATACGAAGGATATGTTTGAGAAAAAAAAAATCTGTACAGTAGTGAATTTGCGAATGTCCATGATCCATAAATTAGCAGGACTTTGCTGTTTATATATATTCAAAACCAGCGGACAGCGATTGCTTTTCACAATTTCACATTTATGGTCATGTAAACGCTCTTATAAATCATCATCATGTGAAGTCCCAACATTACCCCCTGCTCTGTCAGCCCGTCTCTCTCTCTCAGCACTCCTTCTGTTTACTTGCAGTGTAACGCCACCTGTGGAGGCGGCGTGAGGAGCAGGGAAGTGGACTGCATGGGCCCGTCGATGACGCCAGCACAGGCGGATTACTGTGAGCCGTCGTCCCGACCTCCGTCACGTCAGCCGTGCCAAAAAGCTCCGTGTCGCCACGTGTGGACCGCAGGGGACTGGTCGCAGGTTTGAAATTGAACACAGAAAGCACAGTGCGCTTCTCTACATGGCGCCACAGTCCAAAACACGCATGTTAGGTTGATTGTCGACTCTAAATTGTTCTAAAGTGTGAATGTCAATGAGCATTTGTCAATCATGTGTACCCAGAAATAATACGGAGGAAGCCGGTATTGCCACATCATGCTAACGACCTCTTTACTTGCTGTCAACCTGTGTGGATCAGTGCTCAGCCAGCTGTGGAGTCGGCTACCAGCAGCGTGCGGTGGCCTGCTCCGCAACACCCACGTCTCAGACCTTACATCTTTATGCCGCCCAATCGCCCGCCACCGGTACCCGCTGCCCAGAGCCCCGTCCTCAGAGCACCAGGCCATGCCTCCTCAAAGACTGCCCGCAGGCCTCCTACTGGAAAGTCGGGCCTTGGAGCAAGGTGAGCAAGCTGAGAAAGTCGGTTGGTTGTGTCGCAGGCAAGTTAGTTACTTAACATTCTTTACTACCGACTTACTTACTTACAATTGATAGTTTGTTGGTTCATCAGTTTCTTCCTTGTTGGTGAGTTTGTTATTTAGTTAGTTGTTTTTTTAGCTAGCTAGCTAGCTATGTGCTCTACTTCCATTATTAGTGTATTAGGCAGTTGGTTAGTTCGTCAATTTGTTGGTTTCTTACCTGATCTTAAAAATTACTTTCTTAGGAACTTACTGTATTTACTCACTAAATGATGTGCTCTACTATTAGTTTCCTTGGTTTGTTGCTTCGTCAGTTGGTTGGTTGTTATTTATTTAGTCACCTAGCTTCTTGGGTAGCTTGCGAGTTTGTTTGTTAGTTTGTTTGTCAACTTATCATACTTATTTACAGTACTTAATTATCTACATGCTTTCCTACAGTTTGCCCATCTGTAGCTCGGTTTGTTGGTTTCTTATCGGTTAGTTCGTGAGTGAGGTTGTTGGTTTCTTTAGTTTCATGTTGGTTTTTAGTTACTTCGATTGTTTGGTTCTCATTTTGATCCTTCAAGTTATGTCACGTCTTCAATATTTTTTAAATGTGTTTGCTTGCTCCGTAGCTATTTAGTTCATAATTTGTTAATCTATGTGGTTCCTCCTAATTTAATCGTTGGATGATATAAATAATTTTGTCATGGATTTCGACAACTTTGTAATGTTGGGCTGTACGCCATGTGCAGATGATGTCATTTCGTAATTTTCATGAAATCAAAGTCAGACACGGTTACAATTATTGCCACATAAAGTTGCCACGTATGCTGTGGGGCTAATGAAGTCTGATTCTATTGTATTCTAGTTAATCACCAATAAATGTTTGGATCCCAGTGCTCTCAGACATGCGGGGCAGGAGTGATGGAGCGCAGCGTGGAGTGTGTAACCTCCAAAGGAGCAGCGTCCAAGCAGTGCCGCCCCTCAGACAGACCAGAATCTCAAGCTGCGTGTCAAGATGGAGAATGTACGTAAAACATCCCCTCCACTCCCTCGCAGACATGATACCAAATTGACTGTGTTGTGTATGTTAGCCATCACCGTATCTGATTGTGTTTATGGAAACGCAACGGGGTTTTCCCTTTTCGCTTCATTTTAACGCATTAGCTAAAACGCCGTCTCTTGACTTGATTACCTCATGGTAGGATAAATGAGCAGTCAGTGGTACTTTACAAACTCTCCGCACGGTCGAGCCTATCAAAACGCCGCCTTCATTGTGAACTTGCGAGCTCTTCACAAGTCGGCAGCGGGCCAGACTTTGCGCGTTTGCCCGGTCGGCCTCTGCCAAGCCGATCCGTGGCGGAATTAAAACGATATGCTCGGACTAGAGCCAGTACTGCGGTCAAATATTAATGCTAATCAGCACGATATGGCCACTGAGGGACTCCGAGCAAACAAGAGCAGGCAACACACATCATGAAACGTTTATTATAACAGCTCTCCATTTAAGGAAACATTAATTCATCATAGGGGTGTTTTCTTTAGTTGTGTTCATCTTTTCATTCCATCACGAAGCATTTTATTCAAATGACTCACAACCTCCTCTGACATGAACCAAACTGCAGGATAGTGTTCTCAAGCCAGAGCAAGAACTGTAATGCTTTTTAATGTTATACCCAAATTGAAGTTGTACTCGTACTGCATGATCTCTGTTTTATCTTGAGCATATTGTTGTTCTGTGCCAAAGCAAGAACCCAACAGATTGGGGTTTTTTTTTTATGTTTGTTTGTTCTGGTCCCTTATTTTTTTCCCCCCGAGCTGTGCGTGTTAGTGTAGTAATGCTTTCTGTTGTTCATTTACTGTTCTAGCTTTCATGGATTATTGCTATTATTATTATTATTATTATTATTATTATTATTATTATTATTATTATTATTATTATTATTATTATTATTATTATTATTATTATTATTGTAATTAAAGAAAGACCTCTACTTTTTGGATCATTATCCACAAGATACGGTACTTGAGTTCGCCGAGGTCTGATCTCATATCAGTATGATTCTTTTCAGTGCTATAGTCATTTTTCTTTAAGGCTACATTTCTCGATATGTTTCTTGATTCTTTTTTTTTTTAATCCTATCCCGCACAAGATGGTTGTGATGACTCGGGTGGGCTTTGAGTTGAGCGCTATTTCTTTTACTCAACAATAAAAGAAAGAGCCCTATTATTTGCTCAGTGCCAGTTATGGATGCCTTTGTTATCAGCTGGTGTGTGCTCGTAAAACTCCACCAACACGCACGAAGATGCACTAAAACGACCTCCCCTTCCTCCTTATGTTTCCCCCAAGGCCAGTTATTCAGCTCGTGTCGGGACGTCCAGATGCAACAGGGCGTCAGGATGGACGGAGAATATTACCTCAAAGTCAAGTCCCGCATCCTGCAGGTCCGTTTGACGTCTTCACATATTTTGTGAGTCTGTGTCTCCACATGGGCTCATCTGCTCTTTCTTCTTCTGCAGATTTACTGCGCGGAAATGCAAAGCGATTTCCCGAAGGAATACGTGACACTGCGCAGCGGCCAGACGGACAATTACTCGGAAGTGTACGGCTACAGGTACGGATGGATGAACTCAATTCGGCTTTATGGGCGTCGTCAAGTTAAAATGATTGTCCTATTAAATAATAGAACCTGATTTCAACTAATGTAGTTATTATAATTTGATATAGAAATGTAAAGCCTAATAGATTACTATCCAATGTATTTTTTTCGGTCTTTTAGGCAAATGTTGGTACAACTTTGTCATGAAGATAAGAAAGACAAGAAAACCTTTATTTGTCTCACAATGGAGAAATTCCCAATTTACAGCAGCAAAAATCTGAAAGGGAGAAGCAGAAGAATGAAAAGTATCAAAATAAATATAAATATAAAATATATTTATAAATGTATATTTTTATAAAGAAATAAATTTATTTAAATTTATTAATTTAATAACAAAAATACATTTATTTAAAAAATATATAAATATAAGCATATTAAAAGTGAAATGCATTTACATAAATGAAAGCATTTCCAGTGATATGTGGCTTAGCAGATGCAAGGAAGAAGTGCACTGAAAAATTTAATACAGCATGTGCAGTATTCATAATTTGTACTTTCACGCTCATTGAAAGGTTCAAGCAGTGAACTAATAATTACGCTTGAAACAATATGATCGGAAACAATGAACACTGAGCATTAAAAACTGACTTAACTGCACTTATCATTTGTAGTCATAATAACTGGGCATTACTCTCCATTTGAATCTTTCATATTTTTACTTAATACGTAAAATTTGCCTCGTAAAATAAAATTAAAGATGATCTTGTTCCAGAGTTTGAGATCAACCGCTACATTGAGCACAGAGAATGCGATTGTCCTGCACATGGCACAGTAAGTCGTCGACAGAAGCCAAACACAAAATCAGAATGGCCCATTCAACATCCGACATTCTGAACATCACAGGAATAATACGCCCTACTAGAATGAAAGAAATCACTTTCAACATCGGGCCTCTGCTGATGTTGACCGCAAGGGAGGGAAAATGCTCACTTTTCAACCGATTGTCACCCAAATGCGCGCTAAGCTTTGGTTGTCTCGTCCACAAAGGCTGCTGAACCCCTTCGAATGCCCCTACGATGGCAGCCGAAGACAGGACTGCAACTGCAGGAACGACTACAGTGCGGCGGGGTACACCCTCTTCCACAAGGTCCGCCTGGACCTGAGCGCCCTGAGGATACTGAGTGAGTCAATGACTGAGTGGTTGCACGTCTGCCGCAGCAAGACCACACATGGGCTCCGCAGTGCGTCATCACGGATCGTTTTCTCAAAATCCCCTTTACACCCCCCCCCAAAAAAAAAAAAAATCGAGCTAATGACCTTCAGTGCACAAGCTGATTGCAAACACGTCGGAAGGGATCCACGTATGCATGTGCAGGCGCGCGCCCACTAGTGATATCATGACAACCACGAGATGTCAGAGGATGCAGCCGCGCATACGCTCGCATCACCATCGGAATACCGGCGCATAGAACACCCTCAGGCTGCATGGCACCGCTCATTGCTCAAGTCAACTCCACTATCCCGACACGATTGGAGGATTAGCATGCGTGTGGAGAAGCTACGCCGTTCTCTTCATCCCAACGGCACATGTTCTCATCTCCCCCTTGCATGGTACTCATTTGGATTTGGCAGCTTGAAAAGAGCGGAGAGAGAGAGAAAGAGAGTCAATGAGTTCAAGATGAAGGCTAACGAGATTCTGTGCCCCAGGTTGTTATTTCTGACGAAAATTACTGGCACGCACGTCTTAGTCAATTAATATTGAATTGATTGATTTAGTCCTTAGGTGTATACAAGGTGGCGGTGGTGGTCCAGTGGTTAGCGCGTCAACCTCACAGTGCAGAGGTACCGGGTTCAATTCCAGCTCCGGCCTCCCTGTGTGGAGTTTGCATGTCCTCCCCGGGCCTGCGTGGGTTTTCTCCGGGGAATCCGGTTTCCTCCCACATTCCAAAAACATGCATGGCAGGCTGATTGAACACTCTAAACTGTCCCTAGGTGTGAGTGTGAGCGTGGATGGTTGTTCGTCTCTGTGTGCCCTGTGATTGGCTGGAAACCGGTTCAGGGTGTCCCCCGCCTACTGCCCAAAGATGGCTGGGATAGGCTCCAGCACCCCCCGCGACCCTTGTGAGGATAAAGCCGTTCAGAAAATGCATGGATGGATGGATGTTACTCAAAACCTCATGACACTGAGCGACATTGCACACGCTACTTCTGATTGCATCACAGCAAGGTTTGAGAGGAGCTTCAGTTGTTGCACAAGCAACAGCCAGTAACAAACTTGCAATGGTCATGCTCTTTGTGTTAAACAAAACAGGGGTCACCACACGTAACAATTGGCGCTAGGCATGATGGGAAGTTACCCAATACTGAAGTAGTTATTTCACTGTGTAAATATTTACTTTTACTTAAGTAAGCATTTGCAGCACTACTTTTTACTTATACTCGAAACATTTTCCCCTTAAGTAACGCTACCCTTACTTGAGTACAGTTTTTGGCTACTCTGCGCAACTCTGGTCAAATTTGACCCGTTTTTACATCAAATGACCAAGCTCAAAATTTCAACCTTTCATCCTGTCATTTGGTGGCATTTCCTAAAGTGATCCTAAATACACAACAGTAAAAAGATTCATAAATGTCATTATTCTGGATAGGTGTGACAGTTTGTGTACACTAAGGCTTCAAATTTGACCCATCGACTAAAACGGATCAGAGATTTACCAGCGTGTGTTAATGTAAGAAAAATGGTCTCTCCAGCACATTTTGCACAGCTTCCTGTAGAAGGATGCAACTTTTTGCTTTGCAGGGGACTGAGAATCATCATGGATACTAAACATAAGGAATAAAAAAAGTGTCCGTGAGTTCTGCACGATTCTAATGACATTTTCATCTTTGCTGATTTTCAGTCACTGACCTGCGCTTCTCCCACACTCCTGTTGGTCGACCTGTGCCCTTTGCCACAGCGGGCGATTGTTACAGCGCCGCCAAGTGTCCACAGGTTGGTGAAACAATTCCGGATACTCTCCTCGTTGCCTTGTCGGGCAAAGATGAGTGACTTGTGGATACTCGCAGGGCCAGTTCAGCATCAATCTGATTGGCACTGGGCTCAGAGTGGCCGAGGCCACCAAATGGACATCTCAGGGCAATTACGTTTCTGTCAAGGTCCACAGGTCTGAGGTAAGGCACTTTTATACAATGTCTTTGAAATATGTCGAAAACGATGGAGGGAGTTTGGGGGCTCTTCTTGGCCACTGGGTGAGAAACATGTAGTCGTGGTACAGATTGATGCAAAACATTTCAATACAAGACAACCAAGACAAAAAATAAGTAAATAAAAATATTTGGGTCTTAAATTTGATTTTTCTTCCTGAATAATGACTCTTAACTGTTTAAAACACTGTTCGGGGTTCTTAAAAAAATGCCACAAACGCAATAAACATTTTTTGTATTTAAAAAAAAAAAAAAAATGGTCTACAATCCCTATGTGCTGAATTAAACAAATATCTATCCATCCATCCATTTTCCACCGCTTATCCGGGGTCGGGTCGCGGGGGCAGCAGCTTTAGGAGGGAAGCCCAGACTTCCCTCTCCCCAGCCACTTCTTCGAGCTCTTCCTGGCGGATCCCGAGGCGTTCCCATGCCAAACAAATATCTCTGGTTTCTATTTCGAAAATGTTGTATAGTTGTTTGTCATTTTTGTTTGATTTCAATCCAAGACGCCGAAGAAGAAGTGCCAGTGACATTTATGTTGTTGCGTCCTCCCCCATTTTGCCCGCTTCTCTTTGTCCCACTCGACTCTGTAGGACGGGACAAGAATCTATGGCCGTTGCGGTGGTTTCTGTGGGAAGTGCATTCCTCAGGCGCACAGCGGGCTCCTCCTTCAGGTCCAAAATTTGCACGGACGTTAATTGGTAAGACGCCATGGACATCTGAGTGTGTGTAGCAAAACCGTCCCGTCTTCACCAAAACATGTGGTGACTCCGGGTTTGTGTTACGGTGCCTTCAAAGTCGAACTGTCGATATTTGAAATGATGAATGATAATCAAAGATGCCGGCCGGACACTGTTATGTGAGATACAAAGGCACACAATCCTTCAATGACTCACTGGGAATGCAACCAAATGAGGACATTTTTACTTTTGTTCTGTTTCGGTGATGTTATTTTCCTTGACAGAATATTGCAGAAGCAAATGTCTTCAAGGGAAAAAAAAAAATCAATATTCGGCCAATTATGCATGTTTCTCGTGACTTGTTTGCCCGTATTGCAAAAAATGCAGCAAGAGTCAGTCGCCTAGCTTGACCTAGCCTTTCCTGTCTTTGTTTTGTAAGATATGTTGTTTTACAGCCTGTTTTAGCTTGTCTCTGCTCACCATAGCGTAAACTAACAAAGCTTTGTTTGTTTTTTTTTTTTTTTTGATTGCATCCTTTCATTTAATTTAAGTTTCATTTTTACAAGTCTGAGTTTAGGCTAGTTTCTCTCCATTAGTTCTCTGCGTGTTTTAGCTTACCTCAGATAACCTTAGCTTTACCTAGCCTCGCCTGGCATTCCTTTAGTTTCACTAAGTGCCTTTTACTTTGTCCACGCTAACCTTAATTTAAAATAACCTTCTGTAGTTTGGCTCATTTTATTTTAGCTAATCTTACTTGAACCAACTGTATTGCCTCATTGTTAGTTCATCCCGACCTGTTTTAGCTCAACTCAGCTTGCTTCATGCCGTTTATCTTTGTTTAGTGTTAGCTAAACTTCATTGAAGATTGTCACTCCAAGTTTTGTGAAGTAGTTTAGCTCATTTTATACAATCTTAGCTTAACCTAGCATAGCCTCAGTGTGTTGGTTCTTCTCAGCCTGTTTTAGGGCGTGTTCGGAAATATGCTAGCTTCTCTTTGCATGATCTTCTCTTAAATCAGTCTGCTTTAGTTTGTCAAGTACCTTTTTCTAACCTAGCCTTTCTTCTCTCAGTTTATCTTTTCTTAGTCTGTGAATGTTTGCTGAAACAAGCTCGAATAGACTAAAGTTGCCAATTCTTAGCTTCAAGTAGATTCTCTTTGCCGTGTTTAACCTTGTTGTAATGAATCTCAGCCTTTTTTTTTTTTTTGTCTTGTTTCGGCTTCATTAATCCTAAACGTGTTAGTTCATTTTGGTATATTTTTTACATGATATTATTTTAGCAAGATTAGCATTTCTTTCCCTCACTTCACTTTATCTTGGTGTCTTAGCGGAATGAAACAATCTTCAATCGGCAAAGCTTGACTAATATTAGCTTAATTTAACCGCTGTTTGCTTAGTTTATCTTATCTTATATCAACCTGTTTCAGATTGTCTCAGTTATTTTTACCTTGGTATATGTTAGATGATCTTATTTTCGTCACTGTTCTCGCATCTTTGTTCATAGTAGTGTATGATGTCTTAGACAAGCTAAAGCAGGCTCATTTTATCTTAACCTAATCTAGCTAGCCAAGTTTTGCTTTGCTTACTGCAAAAATGAGAAGATTTGGGATCAAGTTGCCCGACTGACTGATCTGGCTTCGTGACTAAAATGTCCTCTTTTTTTTCGTCATTTCCACAACAATTTCCCTGTTCAAACTCCACGTCAAAGGTGCTGCAATTACTTAAATACATCACTAACAACATCAAATCATCTCTTTAACAGTTGACCTATCTTACTGATGCACTCGAGCTCTTGGGAAAACATACTGAATAGTTTTAATCTTTGTCTAATTTCCTCTCAAAAGTACTCAACAGTGACTTGTCGATGGCTTTTTAAAACACTCGTGTCTGGTTTTTGTCTTGAATGATGTCATGTTCTCTCACACACGCACGTTTAATGTTACCTGCATCCCGTAACTCCGCTTATTTATGTTTGACCATATTTATTCCAGAACCTTCGATGCAGCAGCCATCAGGTTGTTTGTTGATGCATCTGTTGTTGTCGTTGTTTGTAGCAAATAACCACTAATCACCTGAATGGTGCTCGTCAAGACTACTAGAATGATTACCTCGCAATTACTGGCCGTCAGTGTTTGGCTTACAAAGACAGGATGTAGCTGCAAAGTTTATCGGATTTGCACTCGATGGGCAAAAGTTGTGGGACTGTCAATGAGAGGTTGTTGATATGTCCCAAATCGTGTTTTACAAAAATCACACATTTACTTTCTCCCATGTTAAATCTGTGCTTGTTTAGTTCAACGCAAAATTATTATTCTGTTATATTGTATGGCAAGAGGTTGATACACAGCAGGTTCATTGTACCTTCTGCCATTTAGTGGGAGAGCATTTGATTGTTCTGGTTGTCACTATACATTGCTGGTATAGATACATGAGCAATTATTTTGTAGTGCCAGGTAAAAATTTTAGGACTAATTCAGTTGGATATTTCACACATCGGGGGTGGGAATAACTGAATTACACAACCTTAACTAATCATCAGTACATTTTGAGAATTAGACTTCTGATAGTTGTATCATGTTGTTGAAACAAGCATCTATTTTATTTTATTTTCACTAACTGTGTGTCCCATTACTTTTGTCCGAGCAGTGTATCGCTCGCTGCAAGGATTGTTACGACCCGCATTGTGCAGCCTAACCCGATTTAAAAAAAAAAAAAAAAAAGCTTTAACCAAAGTTAGAGGTTAGATGAACATTTGTTATTGTTGTTATCATACAAAGCAACTTGTATTGGTTGAATTAAAAATAATTGAAATGAATATAACAAAAAAAAAAATCAATGAGCAGCTAAAAAAATCTTCATTCATATCGATGAAGGCCAACTGTGCTATGAGGTCTGTATCAGAAAATGTAAAAAAAATACTTGACGCACTATGTGCCAAACATTTTTGTAGAGATGTAAGCTTGTTCTTTGTAATAACCGTGAAGAGTTGTAACTTATGTGTTGTTATATGTAATATTCATACTTGAACCGCGTGCTCAATACAGTTTGAAAGATGGACTGCCTGCCTCTTTATCCAAAGATTTTTTTTTTTAATGAATGCTAATATTACCTATACAGTATGTACAGTACACTTTGTAGCTTGTATAAAAATAAACGATTTACTATGGTGCTTTGTTATTAATCGTACCAATACTGTATGTCATGCCACTACTAACGCTTTTGGAAAATAAGGAATAAAAAATAATGAAATGAAAGACCTTCATTTGTGGGGGTTTTTTTTTGTTGTTTTTTTTTGCACAACCACGACACAGGTGCATCAGTTACGACACTTGACAGATTTTTCCCTGCACTTCAAGCGCTTTTAACTTTCCATTGGCAATTTTAGAGGTCTTTTTTTTCTGCACCGATAGTTTATTTGATGACACAAGCATCCTCACTCGTGACTGATGCATCAAGACGTGTATAGAAAAACACAAATCCAAAATATGGAAAAAAGAATTGACCAACCCCCCCCCCCAGCAAATAATTGAATCTGCGATTATCAAACTGTGAATATCCAAAGGTCGACTGTAGTTTTAAGTTGTATTACCACCAATCACCATTAGATGGCAGACATGTTTACACCGTGTCTTCTACTATGCTACACAGTGGGTAGGCCTACTCATTTTTTGTGGACTCCTCAATGATATTAACATTTTGACTGAGTTTATTTTTGTGAAAAAAATACACAAAATGAATTATTGGAGTTAATGTTTCTTGTTCAGCAGTTGTGTGCCATCCTTGAATTGTCATTTTTAAGAGCCCTTTGCCCTGGGGGGGAATCCAGTATGTGGTTATTTTGTTGTTCGCTTCAAACCCTTTTTCGTTAGGTTAGGTTAGTGGATCTTCGATACATGCATTAAAAATGTATTGTCAAAAATGAAATATTTAAAGACCACCTATTTTGGCCATATTTAAAATGTTGTTCTCCTGCATCTGGTTCGGAGGACCTTCCATTACATGACTCATTGTGTTTATGTGTCAAATGTACATGTGAGTGACAGAATTTGGTCTTCAGGAACCTTCGCAGAAGGCAATGTTTATGCAGCAGTCGCTTTCCTAGAGATAACTTTGTACATTGAAAACAGATTCCCTCGTCCTTCAAGGGCTGCTTTTGGTTCCCTGCCAGACGGCCGTCTCTGTTCCTAAAAATCTAATCTGAGGATTTAGGGACCTGAAGCATGACAGTTGCTCCATTTATCTTCCCCTCTCAGGAAAAGGCTTCTCGGGCATAAAACACAACTAAGCTGCAGAAAGAATTGTCATAAAGGAGAGGCTGATGATTGATGTTTACTATCAAATGCATTCTGCACATTCCTGCCTGATCTGCAGCTGCAACATGCTTGCGAGGAATGCTCAAATTTGACATTCGCAAATTTAAACATCAAATCAAATGTTTGGGGCGTTATTGCATCCAAGAGACTGATTTACAAGATAGTTACACTGTATCTTTCATATACGTGGGAAAAAATGATCTCAAATTCTATACACATTGCCAATTCGTTGAATTATTTATGTGTGAACAAGATGTGAACTTGAATTTATGTTCGACTTGCACCTAGTGACCCAAACGAAGTTTTATTTCCTGGTTAAACAGTGACATCTAGCGCATATGCTTGGATACTGCACCCGCTGTCCTACATTGACTAACTTTTATGGTAGTAATGATAAAAATATGATACTTTGCGGGAATAATAATAAAAATAACAATCATTATTATTACCCTATAAAAATGCGTATAAATTATTCTTAAAAATTCGAGTGAACCAAACGAAGTTTTTTTCCTGACTAAACAGTGACATCTAGCGCATATAATTGGGTACTGCACTTACTGTCCCACATTGACCAACTTTTATGGTGGTAATAATAAAAATTGGATATTTCCGGCTTCCTCCCACATTCCAAAAACATGCATGACAGGTTAATGAAAGAGTAAATTATCCATAGGTGCGAATGGTTGTTCGTCTATGTGTGCCCTGCGCCTGGTTGGCAACCGGGCTCCCTCCCCGAACACAGCTGGGATAGGCTTCGGTACGCACACGATAAACGGATTCGAAAATGGATGACTGAATGGATGGATGGATAACGGGGGACACGCTAGATGTAATAACTCAGTACTGCCAGCCGATGGTAGTAACTCAGTACTGCCAGCAGATGGTAGTAAAGTGTAGTGTGACTTTCTGCACTCGACTGACGTGCCGTCGTCCCGAGTTAAATATCGCGGCTCTAAAAAAATGTATATACAGTATAACGAACAGGATTTTCAAATGCTGTATGTATATATTCATGTTTGGGTCTTGTACTTTTAAAAGATAGAGCACATTTCCCTCAAAGTCAACTTAAACGTTTTTTGCTGTGCTTTAAGCGTCAACACGAAATATAGGGTGTTTTTTGAGAGGGAAGCAGGGTTGCTCATGGGGTCCGATCCCCGGAGTTGTTGAACCCAATTCACTGTTAAAACAAAGTCCGAATTGCTGTGTGTATTTGAGAAATGTATTTTACAGTGAAGAGTGTGCTACATGCTTTTTACTAATTCTATCCATCCATCCATTTTCAGCTCCGCTTATCCTGAACGGGGTAGCTAGTTGCTGTAGCCTCTCTCAGCTGACTTTGGACGAAAGGCGTACTACACCCTGAACTGGTCGCCAGTTAGTCACAAGGCTCAAATAGAGACAAACAACGATCCACACCAACATTCACACCGTCACTGAGTGGGCACCGAACCCATGCTGCCAGCACACAAGTCAGGCGAGTGTACCACCACACCATCGACGACACCATACTAATTTGTAGAACACACATTTCCGGAGCTACATCATGTATTTATAAATGATGCTAACGCTAGCACATCATGAGTGGTTTCGTGGCCGGTCCGAAAGACCACTCAAGTATTTCATTTGCGGTCGATTATTGTTGCTCTGAGCTATAATATACCTCCCCAGCATCCTTTTGAACCCCCTCCACCAACTCACACGCACCCCCACGCCGCAACAGTTGGCCTTCCCTTGTATCAAATTCATCTTTTTATGCACCCTGTCTGCCCGAAAATCCGCAAAAGCCCCCACACATGCTCACCGAGACACGACTGACACCCAGGAAATATTAAAGCGGGCGGGGTGCTCTCCATGTTTAACATTTTACTGTTCAAGCCTTTTAGGATCGATCATGAAAGACATTATAAAGAATCCATG